AAGCGCACAAAACACACCAAGCTACCTTAAAAAAACCGCTTTCTTCTTCTTCTTCTTCTTCTTCCCCTCCATGAAGTAACCGAAGTCTGCTAACTCTCCTCTTCTCCCAGACTTTAAAAAAACTAAAATAAAAAAAAAGGCCAAAATGTCTGCAGAGACCGCCACCAACCCTCCAGTTGACACAACTCCAGGTGCTGCACCTGAGTCTGCCACGAATGGCAGCAATGCCAACGTCGCCGCCGATACCACCGCTGGCGAAGCTAGCCAGACTACCTCCTCTACCACCCCGACCGCTCAACCCCACTCTGCCTCCCTCTATGTCGGCGAGCTAGATCCTTCCGTCACCGAGGCCATGCTTTTCGAACTCTTCTCCTCTATTGGCCAAGTTGCGTCCATCCGTGTCTGCCGTGATGCTGTTACCAGAAGATCTTTGGGTTATGCCTACGTCAACTACAACAACACCGCCGACGGCGAGCGTGCTTTGGAAGATCTCAACTATACCTTGATCAAGGGCCGCCCCTGCCGTATTATGTGGTCTCAGCGTGACCCAGCTCTCCGCAAGACTGGTCAGGGCAATGTCTTTATCAAGAACTTGGATACTGCTATCGACAACAAGGCCCTTCACGACACATTCGCCGCTTTCGGTAACATCCTTAGCTGCAAGGTCGCGCAGGATGAGTTCGGCAACTCCAAGGGTTATGGCTTCGTTCATTATGAGACTGCTGAGGCTGCCCAGAACGCCATCAAACATGTCAATGGCATGTTACTGAACGATAAGAAAGTGTTTGTTGGTCACCACATTGCCAAGAAGGACCGTCAGAGCAAATTCGAGGAAATGAAGGCAAACTTCACAAACGTCTACGTGAAGAACATCGACCAAGATACCACAGAGGAGGAGTTCCGTGATCTTTTCGAGAAATTTGGAGAAATCACCTCCGCTACTCTCGCTCGCGATGCGGAGTCCGGTAAGAGCCGTGGTTTCGGATTCGTCAACTTCACTAGTCATGATAATGCTGCTGCTGCCGTCGAAGCCTTAAACGACAAAGACTTTAAGGGCCAGAAACTCTATGTTGGACGTGCTCAAAAGAAACATGAACGTGAGGAGGAGCTTCGCAAGCAGTATGAGGCTGCCCGCATTGAGAAGGCCTCGAAATACCAGGGAGTCAACCTCTACATCAAGAACCTTAGTGATGATATTGACGACGAGAAACTACGAGAGCTTTTCAGCAGCTATGGTACTATTACCTCCGCCAAAGTCATGCGGGATTTCGCCCCAGAATCAACATCTGATTCAGAAAAGGAGGCAAAGAAAGACTCCAAGGAACCCGAGACCAAGGAGGAGGAGCCGAAGGACGAGGCTGGCGACAATGCCGAAAACAAGGACAACAAGGAAAACAAGGCCGAGTCCAAAAAATCCGAGAAGAAGCCTCTTGGAAAGAGCAAGGGCTTTGGATTCGTGTGCTTTAGCAGTCCCGATGAGGCTTCAAAGGCTGTCACGGAGATGAATCAGCGTATGGTGCACGGAAAACCTTTGTATGTTGCATTGGCTCAACGCAAGGATGTTCGAAGGAGCCAGGTTAGTTTTATTTCCGTGTCGATCTAGTTATCCAACCAGGCCCTCTTACTGACTTCTTTGCACAGCTCGAGGCAAGTATCCAAGCCCGTAACACAATTAGACAGCAGCAAGCAGCCGCGGCCGCCGGAATGCCACAGCCAGTGAGTTCAACAATATATCTGTTTTCCCAAGTTAAAGTAGCGCTAACTCCATGTTAGTTCATGCAGCCTGCAGTGTTTTATGGCCCCGGCCAGCAGAATTTCATTCCGAATCAGCGCGGCGGTATGCCATTCCAGCAGCCTGGTATGGTGATTCCAGGAATGCCAGGTGGTCGACATGGTCAGTTCGGTGGCTTCCCTGGACAACAAGGTGGCCGCGGTATGAACCCTAATCAGCAAATCCCACCCAACGCCTATGGAATTGGTGCCCAGGGCCTACCCATGGGTATGCAGGGTGCTGGAATTCCAAACGGTCTTAACTATCCTCAGATGGGCCAAGTACAAGCTCCATTCGGTAGAGGACGTGGTCAAGCCCCTAGCGGCCAAGGTATGCCACCAAATGTCCAAGGAATGGGTCCAGGTGGTCAGTATGGACGCGGAATGCCAGTGCAACAAGGTATGGGACGCCCAGGACAAGCCGGTCGTGGACAAGGGGCCCCAGCCCAGGCCGTGGGCCAACGTGATGAAAACGCCAGCCCAAATGGTCTCACTCTTCAAGTATTGAATGCCGCACCACCCGCCCAGCAGAAGCAGATGCTTGGTGAGGCAATCTACCCAAAGATCCAAGCCCAGCAGCCTGAGCTCGCGGGTAAGATTACGGGTATGCTTCTAGAGATGGATAACGCTGAACTACTTGCTTTGTAAGTTTCATCTGCGCTCCGGTCTGTCTTTTTGACGGCATAGCTTACAATTTCAACTAGGGTCGACGATGATGCTGCCCTCAAAGCCAAGGTCGATGAGGCTCTTACAGTTTATGACGAATACGTGAAGAACAAAGGTGGCGATAGCGGAGAACCTGCGGCTGACGCAAACAAATCGAAGGATGCTAGCCAAGAGACCGCGGAGGAAACGAAGTCTTAGATGAGAACCCTTTGTACGGAATGAATGACTTGTCTTACTCGGGGCTTTTTCTTTGATATGATGTTCTTTATGATTACTTCGCATGTGTGATTCATCCTTCCTTCCTTTTTTTTCCAGCCTCGTATGCTCTTATGTTAATGTCTTGCTCTGATGTTCTGCTGCTTCGGAGCTTCATGTTAAGGACGGCGTTCTTAATGGATATCCATGAGGTCTTCCGTCTCTTGATGCAGAGATACCATCCGCACCTTTTCTTCTCCTCGCTTCTTCTCCGCATCCCTTTCTCTCAGCCTGCGCGCGTCACTTTTCTGTTCCTCGTGCGCTGCCTTGCAACATCAGGATTCGAAAGGCATAATTTCTACTTTTCCACTTTAGGACGGAAGGGAGGGCAAAAGTTCTTTGGCCTGGATGGTTTTTTTATCCTTTTTCTTTTTGTTCTTTCCCCCTTTATTTTTTTGTCAGTCTGTCTACTTTTTTGCTTGATACATGTCAGTGTTGAGAGGAATTAACAGATTGATATTTCAACTTTCTTAAGCTCTACTTGGACTTCTTTGATTGAGAATTGGTCCATGAGACTGTGTACATTATCCGTGATGTTAGAGCTTTTTCATTTGCTCGACTTGTCGTTGCCGATGCCTTTCACCGGTGAGAGCATTGGTTGAGGAACTTGGGTCCTTGTGGGGGAATACTCAGAGATGAAGCTGAGGTGATGAGTTTATGAAGGACAAATAGCATGAATTAGAAGAAGTTTTGGTCAGCCTGTTCCATTCTGAGAACTCGTGGAATATACTCTAAGAATCCCATCTGGCAAATGTTCATTTTGCACCACGATGCTTTTGGGGACTTCTGCGCTCTGCGGAGTAGCGCTAATGCACGGAGATGACAAGATAAACATCTAGGGTCGCCAAGTGCCCGGAACAAGACGGTACGCCGGTTGCTAGTCTAATATCTTCGGTATCGTGAGCAGTAGTGATTACCCGCGAGCAGACTACGTCTTATACTATCACCCAGAATCAGAACACGATCGTCAGCTGGTTGATTTTGCTAAATCAGCATTCATACTGCCATTCGAAGTACCGTAAGCATGGCAGGACAACGCTGTTCGATGGATCTACGCGAGAAGCTTGTACCATCCTTCAAATACACAGCAGCATCTTCCGTAGTTGCTAGTCGTAAAGAACGCCGTTCTGGACATCTACTAAAATACATAAGGCACCTTCTGTGGCGTCGCGGCACCCAAGGGGCTGGTCTACGCCACAAGGGGTGGCTTGAGCCTAGGAGGCACGGCTGGTGCGTGGCGATAAATGATTCAACTCCCAGCTCCCACCACGTAATCAATCGTGTGTTTTGACGCTCTCTGGACTTCCCAGCAGCCTTCCAGCTCTCGATCCTAGCTGCTCATCATGGCCAACCGCGGCTACGACGTTGTCGTCGATATAGACGCTGAGGTATAGTAACGTCCTGCTTTGCGGCAAGGCTGAAAATCCAAAGAAAACAATTGACAGATAGCTGCTGTAGGGCGACCTTGGGCACACCGACCTCCAAGAGGACCTGGAATTCCACACCTCAAGTAGGCAGCAATATCATTGCCAATAGTCCAGTGCTATATCATACTAACAAGAACAGACTTTGAGGAGAGTTCCCGCAATGCCAACAAGTCCCGTCCCGATTCGACCCCATTCCTAGGAGGCAGCTCCTCCCGACGAGACACATCTCCCGGCGGCACCCCTTCCAAGCATCGCTTTTGGACTCTATCATACTACGCACAGTATTTCGACGTGGACACCAGCGAAGTCTTCCGGCGTTGCACGGCAACGTTATATCCGCGCTCTAATTTCCTTGATGTTTTAGACGGCAATGCGGATCTCTACGGGCCCTTTTGGATCGCCACCACCGTCGTCGTGATACTTTTCCTTACCGGAACTATTTCCCAATATCTCGCCCGTGAGAAAAAAGGTCACTTTGAGTATGATTTCCGCCTCCTATCTGGTGCTGCAGGGCTTGTGTACGGATACACGGGTGTCATTCCCATCGCTCTGTGGGGAGCATTGCGCTGGTTCGGGAGTACCAGTGCAGACTTAATTGAGTGCTGGGCTCTCTATGGCTATGCCAATCTTATTTGGATTGCCGTTGCTTTGGTGAGCTGGAGTCCGCTTACGGCCCTCAACTGGGTGCTTGTGGGCGTTGGGTTCGGATGGACGGTCTTTTTCTTGCTACGGAATTTGTATCCCGTTCTTAGCACGGCGGACACAAGAGCAAGCAAGATCTTGTTAATCCTGGTCATTGTGTTACATGCTGGACTGGCCATTGCGATCAAAGTCCTCTTTTTCGCGTGAGTACTATTTTTTCCGAATCAGGAACCCTCGTTTGCTAATAAATCTGATGATAGTCACGGAAGTCCGGCAAAGAAGCACAAGGACAAGGGCAAGGATAATGACGATAAGGATAAAATGGCACGCATGCTCTTCTGATTATGACATGATTCCGCTTGCTTTTTTGGTCTTCCGCAACTCTGTTCCATTGTATTTTAGACCCGTTTATGTCCCGTAAATGTCGGCATCTAAGCTGACTCTGTAACTTCTAAGCACACGGTAGTCGCGAGATGAAAGAAGAAATTGAACTTGTTGATTTCCGAGGCTACAAGGGACGTAAAAGACATTATAAAAACATGGATCATCAAAGTCCCCCTTTAAACGCCCTGCATCATCATCCCAACAAGCCCATGTGCTGCGTTTCCACAACAAGGACACCAAGAAACAGCCGAAACAATGCGTTTACTTCAACTTCTTCTTTGGTCGGAGTTGGTTGGTGTGTCCGCACTTCTTCTTTCTGCAGTTGGTGGCACGCGGGGGAAGACGGGCCTTTGTAGTTGTTCCATAGTTTAGCAAGACTTCGTGCTTCGGGATCAATGAGGAGGTTTCGGGTTTTCAAAAACATACATAGCACTTTCGGCAGATCATCTTCTCGCAGTTGTACTTGCTGGCCAAAGCCTTGAGGGAAGGCTCGATGATACCGCCACGGAGACGGAGGACGAGGTGAAGGGTGGATTCCTAGATGATCGAAACACCCAGTCAGATACTTCTGTTCAAAAGAAAAACGGTTTCTTCAATCCCCCAATCCCAACTGCCTGAATCTTGCTTCCTCATGCTTTCCCTTCCCGTGCTCTCATATCAAAACATCAAAAAAAAAAAAAAAAAAAAAAAAAATCAAACTGCCAAACTTTGCGGATGTTATGTACCTTCTGGATGTTATAGTCGCTGAGGGTACGGCCGTCCTCTAGCTGCTTTCCGGCGAAAATCAATCGCTGCTGGTCTGGAGGAATGCCCTCCTTGTCCTGGATCTTGCTCTTGACATTGTCGATCGTATCGCTCGACTCCACCTCAAGGGTGATAGTCTTGCCGGTGAGGGTCTTGACGAAGCTAATCGCAGGAAAAAAGAAGTGTCAGTATTGAGGGTGCGTTGAACAGAAGCATCACGTCGACGTCGACGTTCCGACGTTCGGACATTCGAGATGGGGTGGCGAGGGTTGATTTGGAGGTTGACCTACATCTGCACTGTAAAAAGGGTACAAAAATGTCAGTAAACATGTTGCGAAACGCAAAGACTCGATTTCGAGGATGATTTGACTTACTGGTTGCGGATTTACCTGCTGTTGTCTCGCAGTCCTCTGCTTCGTCGTCGAGAAGGTCCAAGATTTGAAGGGTGTTTCGCTTAGCGGGTGGGCATGACGGATGTAATAAGCCCTAAACCCTAATTTCCGCATTGGGCCAAGGGAGCCTGGAACCGCCGTCTCCTGGCTGTTTCCATGCAGTCCGGACCACTCCGTAGAATGATTCGAAAACTATGCATTCATGAACTTTGTAGACACTATCTAAGTGACTTATTGTGTCATTATGCTCACCGTTGTATCATAGTTAGCTGGGTCATATCCACTTTTTATGTCACAGTCAGCCATCTCCTCATTCGGTTTCTTCGACCTAGATCTGCTTTTGCTCCTGCTGCTACTTCTGGTCCCATCCGGATTCTGGATCCTATGCTCTGTCCGATATACAGTATATACCATAGTCTCTAAAGACGCGCCTATGACCTGCGCGGCTGCCTGATAAAATGCTTTAGCATACTCTGAAAGCTGGCTCTCGTTTCGATAGCGTTTATACGAGCTCCCTGGTCGGGCGACTGGTTCAGCCAGCGCCATAACATCGGCATCCGCAACTACTCTTCTCATTTTCATTCTCGATAGCATCTTGTGCAGCTTTTTGGAGATCTCCGGACCATCATCATCGTCATCCGGCGGTGGCATCGGGTTCACTTCATCGGTGTCCACTCGGTCGGTCTGGAACATATCTGCAAACGGATTGGTTCCTGTGCATCGATAATTAGCAGGGAAATTCGAAAATATCAAGTACATTCGAGATTAACCTTTCTTCGTATCAATCCACATCTTGCTGTACCAGTCCATATAATCATCCAGCTGTGCAGGTGTCATCTGAAGGACATCACTCTCGTCAACCTTTATTTCACACCCCCGTGTAAGCCTTTCAGTGTTCTTGCCCCTGAGATCAAACTCTTTCTGAGTTTCCACCCATGCTTCCCAGTCTATGATCTGGGCAGCTGGATCCTGCAAAGAATCTGGGTATCTTTTTATGTCATCAAGTGGATAAAGCAGCTTCGCGGCAATAATGACAAGGCTCATCAGCTGAACCTCGGGCAGAGAGACCCGATTAAATCGTCCGGGTTGTCTGGAGAAGCAGAATTCGAAGCCTGAAAGCTCCTTCAGACGGCTCACTGCTGGATATATCTCCACTAAACAGCCGTTAATATCAATTTCAAAATCAAACGAGAGATTTTCCAGGTAGATAAGCCGTACAAGGTAATGCGAGCTGCTTAATATATGAGAATAGCAGCAAAGGCAAATTTATGCGAGGAAATGTAACTCCAAAGTCCCGGGAATACAAGTCAGCTAGATCAGCAACCGCTCGATGGAGCTGGTCCCCAGTGGGAACATTCTATAGCCGTGATTAGCATTTCATAGTCTAAGTTTTGTCTGATGAAGCAGTGAATATACCCGAGGGTCAAGCACATTATGATATACTGCAGGGAGCCTTTCTTTCATGTCCTGCGGCACAAAGCGGCTCAGCCTAAGGAATGGAATATCATCCCTAACAATCCACCTTCGTAGAGGTAGAAGGATTAGCCCTAATTTGAATGCTTCTGTGTCGGTCTTTTGGGGGATACCTTTGCATATATCCGATACTAACCGGAATTCTAAGCAATAGAGTACCCAGATAGCACAGTGCTACAGCATCGATCACCTTGGGTGAATCGCTCAGCTTTCGCCGGTGGTATCTGTACTCCTCGTCATCAAGTTCGGTCCATTCAGTCTGCGAGCTAAAGAGCTGCGAAATATTATCGTCAGACCGATAATTGTCATCCTCTCTTTCGTAAAGCTTCTGGAGCCGCAGCGCCCATAAATCTTTCACAATGAGCTGCCAGGTAATCAGCAATTCTGTGATCGATGTGCCGGCCTGGCAAGGTAAAAGAGCTTACTTACTTCAAGCTCCCCAGGCAACCCCCTTTGATTAATAAGAGCATGGCATTGCTTCCAAAGGAGAAGCTGATACGCTTCCAAAAAAAGCTGATAGGCTTGACTCCCGGAATATTCTGTAGCGCAATTCAGGTCAGGTCTTCCCGTCATCAATGCCTCTGGGCAGACAAACTAACTCTTTGATAGACGTTCTGCGGTGACCTTTTTCTGGCGAATAGTCCGCCCCTGAGTGCCAAAATCGTCATCATCCGCAATTACTTGCCGGCCCTATTTAAAATTAGCGGACGCCGACTGCGGCAAGATCATGTCAAATCCAGCAACCTGGATTCTTTCTAGGGGGAGGAGTTGTGCAATACCTCCTGCTGATGCCCCTGTCTGCAGAACCATAGACCGTTTTCCAAGTAGTAGCTCTTTTCCCGACAACCATCCTGGCCGCAGACGCCGCGCTTCGTCTCTTCCATCTAGACGATCATTGGCGGAGGAACTGTGAAAGGGAAAAAAAAAACAAAAAAACAAGATATGTACGGTGCTCCGTAGCCAGCTTCGGGTCGGTAGTTAAGTCATGTATTCCTAGTTTCTGGTTCCCACAAGGGAAATTGTGGCGGCACATAGTTTTGTTGCCACCACACAAGTTTTGCCTGTCACGAAAAGTGTAACTCTACGAAGTACTCCGTACTCAATCTGATGATATTTTGCGCCCAAATTTACGTCAACAAAGATACATAGAATAAGCTCAGCGATAGATTTACACAAGTCTTTTTTATATTTCATCATTAATTTGTCATGCGAGAGCTGGCATCAAAAATGTCCGCTCAAGTCCCATGAAACAATCATCACTGCCGGTGAACAGCGTTGGAAAGATAAATTCTAGCACTGCATTCCAGCTGGGTAAGAGCGAGAAAAACCCATCTTTTTCCCAATAAGATCCCACGTCCAAACAATGAGTTCGGGGACGTGAACACGCAGATTCTAACAAGGGGGGAGGGAAAATCCAATACGAAGGCATTTATTTAGGGGCTTCCTTGGCATCCATGGCGACTTCCTCGCCCATGGCGGTCAAGACAACAACGTCTAGAGAGAGAAAATTAGTAAACCAAGAGCAAGACTTAGAATTGTACAGGGCATGGACGTACTGATGTCCTTGTCCTCAACGCGGAAAAGTTTGTTGATCTTGTCACCGACTTCACCGTCAGGAAGTTTGACATCATCTTTAGTGGAGCCATCATCGGCCATAAGGGAAAGGAAACCATCCTCAGAGATATCAATCTGGAGATGGGCGTTAGCGAACATTTATTTGTTAGGGGGGCGCAGGGGAGGAGTGCGGGCCTTACAAGCTGATATTCCTTGCGAGAGACATGGGGCACCTCCATGTTGTGGGTGGATGGGGAGAGATCTTCGAGCTTCTTGCCGGTGAAGATGTCGATGGCGACAAGGTGGACCTTGGCGTGGCCGTGCTTGCCGGTCTTGGAGGTGGACATTTCGACGATCTTGCAAGGACGGTTCTTGATGACAACGAAGCCGTTCTTTCTCAAGGCAGAACACTGCATGGGATAGGTGGCAGAGGCACCGGCATCGGCGCTCTCAAAGGTGTGCTCATGCTGCCGAGAGGAAGAAAATCAGTGAATGAAATGTCCATTGACTTGTGTTGAGGGGAGAAGGGCAGGGGAACAAAAAAAAAAAAAATCTCAAAAATACAGAGACTGAAAATAACGAAGGGTGTGTTTTGCAAGTGCGGGGAGTCGCATGCCCACTCCAAAACCGCATGAAGGAACAGAGGGTGGGCTTACCTGCGCATCGTCGGCCATGGTGATAGGTTTTCAAGAGTGAGCAGTTTAGATAGTGCGGAGTTGAGATCAAAAAGAAGGCCGACCGAAGGACGCAGAGAAGAGGAAGACACCGGGAGGTTGAGGGATGAATGGAGGAAGATGTAATTCCGATGAGGGACTGGATTTAAAATAAAAATGAGTGGAGAGATTTCCTTCGCTGTGGCCTTCGACAACAGACTTTGGAGGGGTAACTCACTAACCGACGCTTGGCCCCTTTCAGCGTTAGTGTCCTGTTTGCCTTGTTTGCATCCCGTCCAGGGTCTGCTTGTCTGGTCGCTGCGGCCAGCCGTAACTGTTGCACATCAGTGACATCACGTGCCTGTAAATTACCGTCATCGTCGAAGCACCTCGTTCGCACCGACACTGATAACTTACCGCTGACGTTGGCTGGAAGCTGTAAGTTCCTGGACGTTCGAGCTCCGTGGACTTGTACAGGTACAATGTATACTCGCTTTCTCTGGAGATCCCCTCCACTTCGCTCTTTCATGATATGCTGACTGCTTTTGCTCGATAATGCTTCTTGATGGGAGCTCTAATTCTAAGCTGAGTGGTTGCTGATCATGTGGCTCGATCGCTTTTCGGGCCACTCAAGTTCCCCTGGTGCTCCGTCACCATTTTATCGGCAGGCTTCCCCCGTCCCGCGGTCATCGCTTAATGCAAGCAGTCAGCCTTCGCGCCCACCGTTCAATGCACGATCTTCTTCTCTATCCCTCTCTTCCGTTGTCAACGCATCGACAAGCTCCCTGCCAGGTGCCCTGCGCCAGACAAACGGATCGGCTCTGAGAACGGGTGCGACGAAAGATGCAAACGTCAGCGACCCCCTGGCAGTTTTGCAAGGTATAATTGGAAAGCAAAGGATCCTACACGAGTCCGAGAACTCTCAGTTGGCTCCGGATGTGTTGGGGAAACCGGAGAATCTTATCGAAGATATCGATTTCGGAGAATTGAGTCTTGAAGACTACGCGAACCAGAAGGACGAGCAGGCAAGACTGCCAGGCAGCTATCAGGCATGCAAATCTTCTGAAGAGCGTAAGTCGCCGAGGCTGAGGGGGCGCTACAACTTATGTAAGAGGGGTGATTAATGCATATCTAGATGAGAAAGAACGAGAGCGGTTTCAAGATCTCCATAGCTCAATCGCAGTACGTGAAAACCCCGCTGCATTCCTCTAAAGCTATTTTCTCATCAGTCTTATGTAGGGATGCGAAGACGTCCTGAAATCTGTTGAGACATATCTCTTAAAGTTCCAGACCGAGCTTGGGGCCGTGTCTGCTGAGATCGAAACGCTGCAGTCACGTTCGTCTCAATTAAGTTCTCAACTGGAAAACCGCAAGAACGTGGAACAGCTTCTTGGGCCGGCTTTGGACGGAATTGTCATCTCGCCGCGTACGGTCCGCGTCATATCCGAAGGCCCCATAAATCATGAGTGGATTCGGGCCCTGAAAGAGCTCGAAAGCCGGTCTGCGAGTATTAGTTCCAGTTCGCTCACTGATGTCAAGGCGGTCGAGGATGTAAAGCCGTTATTATCTAACCTGAAAGACAGAGTAAGGGCTTATCTAATCGTATCTAGAGTTTGGCTCGCTGATTCTATCTGAAGGCCGTGGAAAGAATTCGTGATTATCTAGTGTCTCAGATCAGAGCTCTACGGTCTCCATATATAAATGCGCAGATACTTCAGCAACATTCCCTTGCAAGATACAAGGAGCTTTATGGCTTCTTGACTTGTCACCAACCAAGCCTGGCAGAGGAGATCACACAGGCCTACATGAACACGATGAGATGGTATTATCTGTCGAATTTCACCCGATATAATCAGGCACTGGACAAACTCAAAACCCATTCTGTGGACCACCTTCTCGGTGGTGAACCAGTTTCTCAAAAAGGCTGTACGTTAACCGCCATCAAGTCTTACGAACGTTGCTAATATAGGGTAGCAACTCCTTTTCCTGCCGGACGCAATCCGCATGCGGCTCATGATCCGTTTGCCGTGGGGCGACGACTAGAGGTACTCAAATCAAACAACCCAACAGCATTAAGCTCATACCTCGCGGAAGAGGATAAGTCCTATCATGGTATCGAGGTTCCTTTTAGGAATTTCAACCTCGCATTAATCGATAATATATCCGCCGAATTTTCCTTCATGGCTGAAACATTTGCGGCTAAATCCATCCAGCAAGCCTCGCGGAAGGTAGTGGCAATATTTGAGCCGGTCTTCGCTCTCGGTCATAACCTAACAAAACAGCTAATAGAGCACACAACCGATTGTCTCGGGATACTTCTTTGCGTTCGGCTAAATCAACAATTTGCTTTTGAACTGCAACGCCGCAAGGTCCCCGTTGCGGATTCATATATAAATGGCATAAATATGCTCCTATGGCCGCGGTTCCAGATGATCATGGATATGCATCATGAATCACTAAAAAAGGCGTCCTCATCGTCTAGTCGAGCGAACGTCTCGGCTCTGTCACTCACCGGAGGAGACAAGCAGTCTCTGGCACCGCACTTTCTAACCCAAAGATTCGGGCAATTCCTCCACAGTATACTGCAAATGAGCAGTGAAGCCGAGGATAACGAACCGATTTCAAACAGTCTGAGACGGTTGACCAATGAGTTTGACACACTGTTGGCTAGGCTTAGCAAAGCTAGTGGCGATGCCAAACGAAGGGAGCGCTTCTTATTTAACAATTGTTCCCTAATCCTTACCATCATTGGCGTATGCTCATCTTAACACGCGTGCTGTCTTGCTCACTGCTAACTCGTGCTATCAGGATACCCGAGGAAAGCTTGCCCGAGAGCAGCAGGAAGTAAGTGACAGCCATTGCATTATGTTGACGATTAAATACTAAACGCTTTTAGCACTTTGAGTCGATGATTAAGGACCTTGGTGGGAAGTGATGACGGCCGTGCTTGGTCCCAAGTTGGAGAAGCAGATTGCAATTCCTGGGCCGGTTTAGTGAACCCTTGCTAGACCATTTTAAGCAATCCGTCAACTTCAAATGTTGTTGAATGGACTTTCTGCGGTTCATAAACGCCTTCTGCGGAGGATGCCGGCTCGTATTGGCGCCTACAGAGTTGCAATTGGCGTTTGACCTTTATTGTTAAAGGGGATTCAGCGAGCCGCGAAGCGGAAATTCTTCTAGACAGATATGATGTAGCTAGTAATTGATGACCAGATCTAAATGTTGTAGAATTTACCAATGTGGCATGAAGTCAATAATTCATGCATCCCGCATCCGTTCCCCATTGTTTTCGCTGAGAACTGACAGGCCTTCATACCTTTAGACAAAGGGAAAAAGAACATGCCATTGATTTTATTACCTCTCCAACTCCCTTATCAAGATCTCCAGGATAATCCCCAGCTCTCCCGCAGGAGGTATGGATAGACGATTAACAAGGGCAGGTTACAAAGAAATGACTTGAAACCTATGCAAAGTCTCCAGGCTCTTCTACAAGCTCGCCGTCCCGATTCTATATAAATCTGTCGTGATCGAGGCTGAAAGCGAACACATTAGCAGACGTGGAACCTAGAGCTGCTTCTCCGTGCACGCCGTCAGCCTCTGCTTTACTCAGTACCTTCAAATCACCTCCTTCCACGTCGTCACTCTCAAATCTGTCTTCCAAATTGGGATCTAAAAGATATCGACACCAGCGATGTCCCACAATCTGTTTATCGCAAAGATGCTACCGTAGGCTCTGCAGCCAAGAAAAAAATACTGATAAAATACCTAAAGAGGTGCTCCCAAGCCAGTTCCGTTTCGGGGATAAGTCGCACCTCGCTGATCATTCTTGGGCCGGGCCAGATATCGCATGAGAATCTATTTTCATCTCGTCTATAGGCCCGTCCCCGGGATCTGCCGCAGTGGCTGTATCAGTTGTCCCCGCTTTTTCACTTCCCAAACCGGAAGCACTTGATTCTCTAGAGTTTGTAAAAAGCTCACGTAGCTTCTCACCATATGATTCCTTCTCCTTGAGTTTCGAATCTATCAGCTTAGCGGCATCGGCAGCCCAGTAGGATGTAACAACCTCTTCAAAGTCAGTACAGGCTTTGTCACTGCATCGGGCAAACATCGGCTGAATTTGTTCAAAGAAAAGATTGCACAGTCCTTTCGGCCAGTTCAATGCGGAAAAGTACCAGAAGTTGCCAATTTTCCAACCTTTCCACATAGTATGTGTGATTGGAGTATTTCCTTGGACAAGAGCTCTTTCTTCAGATTCGAAGACACTCATAAATTCCTTATGCACATTGATGTATTCATCAAGCCGCTCATCTTGCAGGGTATCAATGCACTGGCTAGTTAACCAGTGAGGAGGATGCAACATCTCAATGGGTAGAGAGCATGCCCACTCAAGATCAATCAATTTTGTGATGTTCCAGTCCTTGTCAACAAATATGTTACTTTGATGGAGATCAGTAAGGGTGAGAATAAATGGACCAGAGCGAAAATTGCGGTCCGCAAAATGTGGAAGTAAAGCCTTCATCATTGTGAGTGCTGACAACTGTGCCTCGCCATCATCTTTGTCATGGATCGCATTCTCTTTGTATCGGATAACATTATCATGGCATGCTAGAAGATCTAGATAGTATGCATCTGTGGCATTGTATGTGAGATTCCTCGCGATACCGGTAGGAATGCACTCATTCTCCAATTTCTGGAGTACAACGCTCAAGGGGCGATTCGTAAGGCTTAGCACCCCATCATCATCAATTGTCAAAGAAGCAATGTGAGGAAGAGGAATCCGTGAAAGCAAGAGTATAATTCGAGATAAGTCTCGAAATAGGTTGGTTCGCCGGTATGGGTCGGATCGATGTGCCTCCCAAGACTTGGATAGCATGTCACCCTCGTCCACATACTCAACAATCATATACCCAGTCGTCAGGAGGTTGCCAGTTTTGCAAGTGACATAGGGAGATGGAGACAAAGATCCCGGCACCCAACATGTTGCCTTTCGAAAATACCATTGAAGTCGTGCCAAAAGAGATGCATGTTCCAGGGCCATGAACTGTACAAATGTGTCAGATGAGACCAAATAGATGAGATATTATTAGCTATTCACATACACTTTGACCCTCAGAAAATGCATATCCAAAAAGCTTGGGAATGGGAATAGCAGGACAGTTATTTCGGATCCAAATATAGGTAGCAACCTCACAACGAAGTTTTTCTTCCGTGTTCCCTGGATATTGGGTCTCTTCCAACTTATATGGCAAGGGAAATCGGATGATCACCCGTCTAACACAAAACTTGATTGAATCATTAATGTAGATGGGGACGCAGAGATTAAAACTGCCGTGGATCCACTCTTCGACTTCTCCAACTTTGCAGTCATCTTCAGGAAGACCTAAGTGATGCGCTACAATCGCTTTAATGGTGCTGCGTCGCTGATAGAGATAGAGATAGAAGTCTAGCCGTTTCTTTGGGTACGAGAGGAGGAGAAGATAATCATCATCTTTGTGCAGGGCGGCAGATAGTGTGATACTTCCATTAAGAAGCGGAAGAGAAGCTGGCATTGTTTGTCTTGATGTGATTTCGGTTCACAACCAAAACGGGATTGCTAAAACAAATGCATCCATGTCGGAGATTCTCTTGACCAACTGATGCCCATTGATCATGATCATGTGATCAGTACGGAGCGGCCCCTTCAATTTTAAATTATGGGCCTTGGCAAGCATCTCTGCATACTGGGCAATTTTGGTGCTCACCCACAGAGCCGGCACCGGTTCTCTGAAACTATTCTATTCCTGTAGATCTTTCAAGCATCTACTCTTTTGGGAAAACACTCATATGAGAGAATTGTTCAAAGGAAAGGAAAAGAATGATATACTAACTTAAAAAAAAAAAAAAGGAAAAGAAAAGAAAAAAGAAAACAGAAACTCCTTGTCACTGGAGAGGACGATGGGTGGCATTGGACTTGACCACTCCCAAGATGCCGGGGATATGTGCATGTTCCAAGTGTGTGTGCATTGGAAAGTCACATCCCTAAATATCCAAACAAATCAAATGCATCCAATATTGATGCCCGCCTTGTCCGCAAAAAGGCTGGAGCATAACTTCCCTGCTTTCCTGGTTATTATTAATAGTTGCCGGCTTGCACCTGAGACCATCAGTTCTTGCGGACAGCCTGATCTTTGCATCGAACAATTGATTTGGCATTCTTATCCCTTTGTGATCATTGTGATACTAGCACCTGACTTCAAACCAGTGCTTCACTTCGACCACCGAGCCTGAATAAGACTCAGCATCTTTGGTGTGAATTGCTGAGGCCCTGACAGTTTGTTGCTTTCTCTCCGGCCTAACACTGTTTATTCCAATGCTTATTGATATAGTTCTCTTGGCCCTATTCTCAAAACAATCTTTGCAACCATGAACGAAGATACTAAGCGCATTACCGCAGCTCTGAAAGACCAAACAACCATTCAATAGCTTTCCAGTTCTGGTCAGGTCATACAAAAGGATAGAGCAGAGAGGAGGAGAAGAAAGGAGGTGGCGGAAAGGAAAGAAAAAGAAGATAAGGCAAAACAACAAGCAGGAGAAGCAAGCAAGGATGCAAAGAGCTCCTAAGATTATTAAGTTGAAAGAATATTTTGTCTCTAACTGAGTGGATAAAATTTGATCATATGTGTGGATAGGACACAGCTATAATCTCTATATCATATAAGAAGGTGCCTAGCTTTACTAATGATCCTATACTTTACCAGATAAGCGCCTCCTCAAATGATTGTTCCAGAAGAAAGAGGTGTAATCCTTCTCTCATGTTTGGGATTCTGATCCAACCTTCTTGGTCTGCAGTTACGGTTTAGCCGTGCGCCGTTTAGCTCCTGATCCTACAGATCAGCATAGTGTTTCTCCACATGCTGCTAAAAGGACTGCTGATTCATAAACACCTGTAGATGTTTACTTATTATGAGGAAGGGTAAAGCAAGGTGAAGGACAGGTAAATATGTATGAGCGAGGAAGTGAAAATGGCATAAAGTGGCGGGGCGGGGGCTAGGCACTAATCTAGAACAGGAGCGATCGAGGTCTTCCCGTACATATATATTTATGTACGGAGTACTCCGTAGTAGTTGACAGCCCTGTCTGGGTGTGAAATAGTTAAATATCTCCTCCTGGTCAGCCTCCACTTGTGGAGGGATTTGCGAATCGGGATAACACTCGGCGTCGTTCAAACCGCCGATTGCCGAGCTGTAACATCAAGATACAATGATTTCGGTGGACATGACATACCGACTGGACTGATTAAAAGGCCAGCTTTGGGTTCTAAGGAATTATAATGCGCCATTGCATTGAAATAGCCGCCACTTGCTGTTGATTCAATCAGCAACATCTATCTCTCATGCGATCCAAAGCGGTCGCAACGCTTTCAAACACGCTACCCAGGTTCGGGAGGCAATTCTCGACGTCCAGACATGTGAGCGCCGAGTTTACGCATGTCGTAAGTGGTCTTCCAAACGCCTCTCTTTCTGGATGATTGATCGTAGGACGCGTCTAAGCATGGCCTAGGTGATTGGCGCAGGAGTGGTTGGCCTCGCTATAGCTCGGCAGCTGGCTGGTAGAGAAGGCGCTTCCACTCTTCTACTCGAAAGACATAGCGCGGTGGGCACGGAGACAAGCAGTCGGAATTCAGAGGTGTGTTATCTCGTTTTTCTTTCCATCAATAATCCTGAATTCACGCCGTTTCTCCCTGCACCACCTGGCGCTCACCCGCGCGGAGACCAACTACAGGGTACCCTAACCAAACCAAAGAAGAAGCGAAACTGACAGGCACTTCTGCTTTCACAACTCTCAAGGTCATTCACGCCGGTCTCTACTATGGCACGGATACCCTGAAGACAACGCTTTGCATTAAAGGCAAAGAGCTCCTCTACTCCCTGTGCAAAAGACACAACATTCCCCACCGCCGCACCGGGAAATGGATCCTCGCCCAGGACGACCAGCAATGGGCTGAATGCCTCAAACTGCATTCCCACGCACAGCACATAGGCGTACCTACGCGCTTCGTTGGCCGTGAGGAAGCGAGAAGGAGAGAACCCGATGTGCGAGCACGCGCAGGAATAGTGGAATCCCCAACGACTGGCATAGTGGATAGCCATGCCCTGATGACATTTTTACACGGTGATTTTGAGGACCGGGGCGGTGACTGCGTGCTCCAGACTACAGTTCGGAATATCCAGCCGCTAGATGGAGGGGAAAGTGGTTATAGGATATATACGACGTCTGCAGATGGCGAACAAGAAGGCTCAATCACGACAGAAACAGTGATCAACTGTGCAGGGCTTGAGGCATGCAGGATAAATAATATGATACTCCCGAAGGAAAGGCACCGAAAGGCTTATTTCGCCAAAGGAACTTACTTCTCCTACTCGGCATCCACGCCTAGACCAGACATTCTCTTATACCCGGCACCGAAACCTGGACTTGGGGGGTTGGGAACACATTTAACACTGGACATGGCCGGGCGTGTACGATTCGGGCCTGATGTGGAATGGGTGAATGATCAAAATGACCTCAAACCCAGTCCGGCACGACTACGAGATGCTATTCCGGAAATCCAGGAGTTTTTGCTCGGTATCAAAGTTGAGGATATAGGTGTGGATTATTGTGGGATTCGACCCAAACTATCCAATCTGGCCTCGGTGTCCAAGGGAAAGGGATTCCAGGATTTCATAATTCAAGAGGAAGAAGGCTTTCCCGGGTTTATCAACCTGCTTGGGATCGAGAGCCCCGGGTTGACAAGTAGTTTGGCGATTGGGGAGATGGTTGATGGCCTTTTGTATAAATGAGGTCTAAAATCTCTCTTTGTCTAGCTGGGTCTTTCTTTCTGTCTATGCTGAGATATACTACTTAGTGTAATAAATCAGGGCAAATCTTTCGCGCAAACGTCCAGTGCCCTGGATTCTACATACAGCGCAGTAGCGATAGGTTTAACAATCAGAGGGTGTGAACGAAGGACACTAGCCTTCCAGTCTCCCCGGTAAAATCTGTGCACCGTTGTTGCCGCTCCCCCCCATTTAGCATTATCTGGTAAGGGTCATGCTGATTGTACCCACTAAACAATGAGCTATCTAAACCAGATTGCCATTCCTTTTTCTTTCTTTTTTTTTTTTTATTTTTTATTTTTTTTTTTTATTTTTTTTAAATGCCTTGGCTGACAAGCTGCCTCATCGCTCGAGAACATCTTGGTTATGGCTCTTCTAATTAACAATAGTCCTAGATTGTATGAGTTTATTGCGCGTTTCTTTTTTACAAATGGGATAACCATCCAAGTCATCATCGTCGATGGAAACATCTATGCTTTTCACCATATCGTGGTGCGTAGCCTGCTAGTGCAGAGTCGCCATACCGCCGAAATATCGTAGTTGTTTTTCGCAACCCAGTACGAGAAAACGCCAACGAATATCGCTAGTCCAATTGAGCCGAAGAGTCGTGAGTTGCTTCGTAGGAAAATTAAGGCCTTTTGTCGTCTCTCCTCTCGCTGAAGGTCGCGGGTTTGTTTTTCGAATAGGTCTCTTGCTTCTGTCGGGGTAGCCCGCAACGCAAGGTCTCGAGACGTTTTCAGAACGCTGTTTGGTGAAATCTTTCGCCAAGCGCGGAAAGGAAGCGACTCAGGGGGGTGTTTGGCGTATAGTTCCAGGGCGTTGGATATCAGCATCTCCAAGTCGAGCGGCTGGGGTAGTTTTGAAAGAGTAAAATGCATCATCTCCGGTTCATCAACGGGTATCTCAAGAAGTTCTTTTCGTCTGGAGAGGATAATGGATCCAAAGAGATAGATCGAGACCACTGGCTCGTGGGATAATATAAAATCAAATAGTCTTGCTATGTCGCTATACTCTTGGATATCGTGCGCATAGAGCGTAAGCGTCGCAGCGAGGGCAAAGAATGGCTGGGTGCCGGACACGTGCCGATACAGTTCTATATCTGCACCATGCAGCAAAGCAGGGAGCAGTTGAAGGTGCTTAACAGCCGGGGACAGCGAGGGGAGCATGTAATCTCTTATGCGGAAGAGTGAGACTCGCTCAATTGCGGGGAGTGAGTCCTTTGGGCCTAGGACCAGGAGCAAAACTTGTGCAATATCGTGGTATCCTTGAAAATAGCACAACATGGGGTTCCTTTTAAGGACGGATATGATTAGGTTAAATAGCTCGTCCTTCTTGGTTTCTAGCTGTTTATCCGTTTGGCCTGGATAGCAATATATTAGCATGCTTCAGGTTTTTTTTAATAAGAGTCAAATCAGCCAGCTCACAGTTAGGATAGTGCACAAAGGCCCGGTTAACATCCAGTTTAACTTGATCTTCGTCACGGTGCTTAGGGAGCCCATCCACCGCTGGGGGCGCAGTATGTGAGTCGTAATCATATCCAAGCAAAATGGGCCCTAGCAAACATCAGTAAGTCCCGATCAACAAGGGTTACAAGGAGTGAATTATTCATACAAGCAAGTTTGCGAAGGTCATCATGCAGTAAACCACCTTGTGAAGTTGCAAGGGCTATCAATGACTCCACGTCCCTCTCTTCACATCCTCGAAGAATATCTTTCCTTTTAGCCTGATGGGAATCGGATACAGATGCCCTTCCATTCTCGCGAGAATCTACCATTGATCCATCAGAGTGGCCTTCGACTGGCTCCTTTTCATTGAGCACGACTGCCATGAGAGCAGTGATTAGGACATAGACCGGTTGTTCCACCCGGAGAGATCAGCTCCGTACAAAGCAAAGCATGGGTTAAATTATACCCTAGCGATGTTGAATTAGTATAATAGGTTGAAGGGGAGCTGTCAGGCGGTCGAAGTTATATAGTAAGGAGCAAAGACAAACGACCAAGGTTGTGACTGTGAACCCGGAACATTGGATTCTTGTCGGTCTGAAGAAGTGAGCGCTCTGAGATCAGTGATTCCTCAGTCAGGGCGACAAATGCTGGATGCTAGTCGGAAAGAATGAAAATTGCAGAGCAGTTACTGATATGGATATTCATGCACGCTCTGGGCGTGTTCCGTGTCTTCGTCTCGTCGTCAGTGTAGCGCTGCCGCCAGACGTCTCCGTCACCAGCCTGGGTCCAGGCCACTCTGGGCCGCGAAAATATTCCGCCAATGAGGGCCTCGGGATGCGAGAAACGGCATGGAATTTTGTTTCAAAAGAGAGCGCTGATTGGCTCGCTCAGGGGTCTTTTTTATTTTATTTTTTGCCGCGAAATTGATGTGCACGGCCCACCGCCCTAGTTAGTAATCCGCATTAGCCTCAGGGCGGCGGGACAGGCTGCATCGAAGTACCAGTCAGTGTCTATCATTCTTTTCGCTCCCTGCTCCGAGGACGAGGAGATACCAAACGCAGTCACACTTTTAAGGGCAGAGGCACAGCGGGGCCTGTCGAGTCTATTCAGATATTTCGAATCGTCATCAAGTATTTTCGTTACCCCGCTGCCGTCCCGTTTGACGGGTCACATTTGCTTTTCCGCTTCTTGCTCAGTCGGCGACTCCGTGCGCGCGATGGGCATTTGAGGTGACACTTGGGGCGGCCTGAATTTCCAGTTCATCCTTGGGTTTTGGGATCTATTATTATCTTCCTTTGCTAGTACAAAACTGCCCGCGAGAGCCTTTATCCTGAGCAAGAATGGCCGTGCCTTATGGATACATAGTTTAACATGGTATGTGTATACGTGCAGGGAGTAGGTCTTTGTTCAAGTGTGCCATCCGCCTATTCATCCCATCTTTTGGAACTTGATTGTAGTACTGATATCTGTGTTATCAAGCTGTTACCTTGACCCGCCACTGGAGAGCTGTTGTTAATGAATCCAAAGTCTTTGTTTGGCTTTCCGATTCTCTCCATTTTCCTGCATTGCGGGGCCAGGTGATGAGCTGTTTTACCTGGGCTTCTAATAAACAGTTTATAATCTCATCTTTACTGTTTCCTCTACAATGAAATTCCATTTCTATGCCATCTCATCTTAAGGGGTTCTCATAGCCAGCCTTGCTTGTTTCTGTTCAGCACGCCTTTTTTTTTTTTTTTTTTTTTTTTTTTTTTAATATAAACAGCAATATTACGGATTCCGATACGCTTGATACACGGCAGCGCTTCTTATTTTCTCCTTTTCTTGCTTCCCTCTTCAAACAAAAAGGATACCCTTTTCCTTTTTGGCGTGTCGCGCAATGTCCCTCCAAACAACCTACCTTGTGAATGGCGAATGGGCCACTAGACGGGTCGATATCGGTGAAATACTTGCCAGAAACCGTGAAATAAATATTCCTGGAGAAAATCGAACTTCAAGGGTGCCAGCTACAGGTTTCCTTTCGAGAACACTCGTCCATGGTCCAGCAATCCAGTGGGTATTACCGGCTCGTATCCGCCATCAAAACAGAAACGATGTTGTCTTTGTGGGAGACAATTTCATTCAGATCAAGGAACTCGTGCTAAGTGGACATTTGGAGGAAGTTATGACAAAAGCAGATTTTGATGCCAAGATCGTTGGCGCAACGGTTATAAACACGCGTCCTGAAGTAGGATTGGGCGATGAAATTGGAGTCGGAAGAAGCGCGGCTGCTCCCGGTGCTCCGCTGGATGTTGGGAATCTTGCTCCTCAGATTCTCGTTCTGATTCTGGCCTCAAAGGAAATGATATTTCTTTACGCAAAAGAGTTATCCCAAGGGCGCCATGAATTTGTGCATGCGCGAAGGCCTTTGCCAGCGGATGTGAGTTCCCTAGAAGAGTATGGGAAGAACATAACAGTCGATCCTCGGTGAGCAAGTTCCGGGTTTCCCTTCTGTGCAACGAGATCCCTAACAACATACAGGTCCCGCGCAATGGCGGTTTCGGCGGCGCAAAAGTTTTTCGGCATATTCTCGCTTAAAGCCCCTCAAGTAATGCAGCGCGAGATGGCGTGTGGGCCGGTAAATCCAATTCAGGAAGTATGAATGCTCTTCAAGCCTGGGATCCCGGAGTGGCGTAATTTCCCAAGAGCTAATCTAGACCGATGCAGGAACGTTTTTTCCGCACCGACGGCGATATTCTAAAAATGGAATTTCTATACCCCAAATCTAGCGACCCCGACAAAGCAATTCTGCTTCTACTTGTGTCGCGGAATTCAGGAGTCCATTTGATGCTCTACTACTGGAACACGACACAAAATTTGCACTCTATAACCCCCAGAATCACGGGATTGAGAAGGCTACCTGTGGAGTGGGGAGCTCCTCCGATTCTAGTTCCCTTAATCCAGTCTACGTCTTTTTTGTTCGTCACTCCTACCAAAGTTCATATTTTTTCCGATGTCGTGGAAAAGAATATTCCTGCCAAAGGATATTCGTTGCCCCCAAGCGACGACTCCATATTCGAGTGGAGCGACCTTATCTGGACACAATGGACTCGGCCTATGAGACATGGCGTCCGCAACAAAGAATTTGATGACATTTATCTCTGTCGGGAGGATGGAAAAATCCTATACCTAGAAATAAAAGATGGCTCGGTGAAGCGCAATTCGGTCATCGGGGTCCTTGATTGTAATCTTGACACTGGATTTTCTATCTTGGACGGCGGGTTTGAGGCGGGAGATTTATTCGTTGCAACTGGTAGCATGAGCAGCGGCGGTTTGTTTATCGCAGAGCCAAGAAAGCCACTGAGGTGCATACAGCGCATCCCGAATTGGGCACCGACTTTGGATTCTATAATCGTAAAGGGGCCGGTGCAGCGCAATCCTCCCGTTTCCCAGACTGAATTTCGGACGGCCGGGCCATCCTACGATAGGATATTCACCTGTTCCGGCGCGGGCAGTCGCCCGGGAGCCATCGCTGAATTAAGATATGGACTGGAAGCGCGAATTGGATTGGTGGTTGACCAGGAAGATTCCTCTATCATTATCGATCTTTGGGCGATACCCAATGAGTTTACGGGAGGCACGTTTTGCTTAATATCAAACCCAATGTCATCGTCCTTAATATCTATTCCTATTGAGGCGACGGAAGACCTCTACGCATTGGATGAGGAAAGCTCGGGCTTGAACCTCAGCTCCCCAACACTAGCAGCGTCTAGGACCGCCAACCAAATGGTTATTCAGGTTACAGATGTGTCCATCAATTTGACGGTATTGGAAGATGAGGCTCTCCGCGTTTCCATAGAAATGGAAAAGCCTTCAAACCGAATAATTGCGGCTACTATTAACGGCCGGCTATCTCTCCTTGCTACGGTAATCCGTTCTGATGATGGCCTTCAAGTCATTGTGCGGACTCCAGAAATCAATTCTAGTGGCCTCCGGTGTAATATGTTCGCCCAGCCTTTGGTGACAACTTACGAACCTGTTTGCTTGCTAATTGAGGAGATCAACTCCCACTTTTACCTTTTTATTGGCACCAGCGATGGCAGACTCGTAGTCGTCGAAATAGATTATGCAAAAGGCTTGGTTCCTGTTACTGAGCAGAAGATCTTCGGCATGGGAGATCAAGACTCGACCGTGTGTGAGTATTTACAGATGATTTCTACAGTCAAGCGTGGGGTTCCAAAGTTCACCTTATTCTGTGGTCTTCGAGGTGGTATTTTGGTACCATTTGATATAGAACGAGACTCAAATAACGCATTCGCAGGTGAGATATCTCGCCCCTATCCTTAAGTTGAAAGGAAGCATCAGTGCTAATATACGGAATAGGGGCAACCCAGAAAACGCCATATAAACTGGGAGACACCTTCGTTCGAATTCGAGGCTATGAATCCGACGGATCGATGGCGATTGTAACCTGTGGACACGGTCTTTGGCGGTTGTCATTCAAAGAGGATGATGACTGTACGGAGCATAGATTAGACAAGATTTTAATCACAGATCAAAATAATGTGAGTTCTCCCAGCATCTATAAGCTACCTTCGTTCTGGCTTACATTGTAATAGCCCTCCCGCATACAGTGTGCTATCGATGCGTTTTGCTGCATCGACCCACAGCCTAATTCGCCCCCAGGAGGCCTTGGAGGATCACTCCTATGTTTCGCTGAGAATCAATTATTTGCCTGCACTCTGGAGAAGCTGCCAAAACCTATTCCTCGAGAGATCCATGTTCCGGGCAGCCCTAGACGGATAATTTATTCCAAATACTTACAGAGGCTAGTCGTCGCGTACAACTCCACCAGTTATGAAAGGGATGGTGAATATACAAGGTGCTATAGCCGTCCAAGGCTCTGCTTCGTTGACCCGGACAGCCAATCACCTGAACCGTCTTTTTTGGAGCTGAATCATGACAATAACCAGTCTCCCGACGGCACCAAGGACGCTAAAATGCCTACAGGAGCATCTGGAGAGAAAATCACAGCTCTATTTGATTGGAATTTCTCAAGTGGCGAACATGCCTACCACATGATTGTTGTTGGAACTTCACAGCCGCGCAGTACCTATGCAGGGCGACTAATATATATCTCTGCTCGTACCAATCCTCAGAAACCGGGGCACATTGTTCCAATTATCAAAAACATGCTGAATTACGACCAACCCGTCAGAGCAATAGCCTCTTACGAGTCAACTAGTTTGATAATTGGGGTTGGCGATGGGATCTTGGTCCAGTCCCTCAACCCTGCAACTAAAAGATGGCGGAGATCTGGAACTTACAAATTGGAGTCAACTCCTCTTTCCATTACTGTCAAGGAGCCATATATTTACGTTTTGACGGCGCGACACTCAGTCTGCATTTTAAAGCTGGTGGATGGACATTTCGAGCTGTACGGTCAGGATGGCGCCGACAGAGAGGGCCTCGACCACGTGAATCTGCAAAGCGATTCAAAAATTATTCTGACCTCGAACAGAGGTGGATCGATAGTCGGGTTCTCCGAGTTGGGACTGGTGCCGGATGAAAAGCTGCTAAAACCGCTTTTCGTCGCCCACGTCCCCTATTCTCTGATACGACTCGGCCCAAGCTATAGACCATATGAGCCGGGATCGCCTGAAACCATATACGGTACAGCTCTTGGAGGCACCATATACAGATTCACGACTTTGAAGGAGCACGAATGGCGTCTTCTTCGGTTTATCCAAAATATCTGCCTGGCCAACGCGGTCATTTGTCCGTATCGGACACGGCGCAGGATTGTCATTGAGGATTTAGCCCCGGCTATGCTAAAACCAGAGTCTATGCATGTCGATGGTGATATTCTCAGCCGAATCGTAGATCATGGAATGCGGTTCTTGGAAGATGTGATGAGGAAGAATACCACGGCCTCGTTTTATACAAACAGATCTGCGACTGACAGCCGCGGGAGGATGGAGAGATTTATAGAGTTTGCTACGCCTGTGGTTGGAGATGTGGAAAATCCATTTGCAGCGGTTGTATCTTGGATGGAAGACTTGCTTCGTCTTGAGCTTTGAGGTATTGCCTATCTTAATTAGATTGCAAGAAACAGGATGTGAGGACATATTCTGCTCTGATATCTCTCTGGTTATGGTATGGATGGGAGGAAAGCATTGCAAGGCGAAACCAGCCCAAAGGAAGGGGAGACATGGTTGCTGTTCTACTAGAAATGACTCAGAATGCTGAAAAATTATGCGTTAATCCATGAGTTTGTGATGCCATCCAAGGCTGGGAGCCTGCAGGCAAAAATCCCTGCAGCAGGGTTCTGATACAGGTTGGATGCTTGTTCGGTTGAATCATGCAGGTCGGTTGATAGGGCAGTTTGAAGCTGATTGGGCACGGCTGAGTGGTTCGCTTGGCTCCCCGTGATATTTTTCCACGCTGAAAAAAAAGTTTGCAAACGGCATGGGAGGCGGAGAGTTTTGATGAACGAACAAACTTTGGCTGCTCCCAAATCCTCGCCTTTTAGGGACTGTCAAAACTTAACTACCATCAAGAGGGGCCCAGCTCTTCAACAACAACTGAACTTGAAATTAACAGCACAACATTCTTCTCAAAATTTCCCTTTGTGCCTCTGGCTTCTGGTCGAACCGGCCACCTTGCTGATGTCATTAAGGGCTTCAATCACCACGTTACCCATTTTCCCGCACTACCACACGCTCCATCCAAGCATATCAATCCCTCCACGGCTCGATCCCGGGTCCATATAGAATTTATCTCATTCAGGTTAATTTAGAAAGAAGTTACTTAGTTCAAAATGCCGCCGAAAAAGAAGGGCAATAAGAAGCAGCAGGACGATTGGGAAGCCGAGCTAGGCGAGTCCATCACGCCCACAAACGGCCAGCCTGATAACGCCGCCGAGTCCAATGCCACACCCAATGAAGATGATGATGAAATGGGAGGCGGCCTTTTGGCTGCCTTGAGGAAAAACAAGAACCGCAAGGCAAAGAAAGGCAAGGCCGTTAATAATGATTTTGTTGAGGGCGAAGATCCTACCGCTGGTCTCGAGAGCAAAGAGCCCGAGGAAGCTACATTCGATGAGGATGATGTATTCGCGGGAACTGCTAAGAAGTCAAAGCCTATTGCGAAGGATGAGCCTTCAAAACAGAAGACGAAGGATGCGGAAGAGGGAGGAAAAGTGAAGTCGAAGAAGGAGAAGGAGAAGGAGAAGAAGGAGAGAGAGAAGCAGAGAAAGAAGGAACAGGTTCGTGGCTGTTCTACTTTTAAAAAGCTATATTGTGGTTTTGTTATTCAATGTTAATTTACTTTGGTATTTAGGCTGCGAAAAAGAAGGCTCAAGGACCGGCCGCAACTCCAGCCCCGAAGGCAGAGCCTGCGAAAGCTGCCGAGCCTGAACCAAAAGCCGAACCTACTTCCGCCCCAGAGACTACTGGTAAGAAAAGAAAGGTCCCGGCTCATCTTGCCGCTATTCAAAGACAGCAAGAATTGCTTCGGAAACAACAAGAGGAACAGGAGCGCCTTGCAGCCGAAGAACAAGCTAAAGAAGAAGAGAGGCTACGAAAGATAGAGGAAGAGGAGCGGAAGAAGGAAGAAGCACGTCAGAAGAAAAAGGAAAAAGAGCGAGAGAAAAAAGAACAGCTGCGCAGAGAAGGGAAGCTACTCACAAAGGCTCAGAAGGAAGCCAAAGAGCGTAATGAGATACGCATGAAACAGCTATTGGCTGCTGGCGGCAAGGTTGCCGGTCTCGAGCAAGATTCCGAGCCCGTGGAGAAAAAGAAACCGGTTTATGACAATAGAAAGAGACGTGGACCAAGAGGACGGGAGGAGGTTGATTTGGAAGCTGCAGCAGCAAGAGCCGAGGCTCAGCGCAAGGCTGAAGAAGAGGAGAGAAAGAAGCGAGAGGAAGAGGAGAAGGCAGCTGCTGAGGCAGCGGCCAAAGCTAAGGAAGAAGAGAGCGACGATGGTATTAAGGACAGCTGGGATGCTCCTTCGTCCGATGAAGAGGAGGAGGCGGAAGCGGAAGCGGACAAAGAACTGTCAGCTAAACTATCCCCAAATGCCGCAGATGGAAAAGTGGAATTGCCGACGCGGCAGAAACCTACCGATGGCTCCTCAGAAGAGTCCGAGTCTGAGGAATCCGAGGAAGAGGGAACTGCATCACAACGAGCTATAGCCCAGAGGAAAGCAGAAGCCGCTGAGCGAAGAAGGAAGCAGCATGAAGAGGCCCTGGCAGCTCGATCCAAAGACCACTTGCGATCTCCCATTTGCTGTATTCTTGGACACGTCGATACAGGGAAGACGAAGCTGCTTGATAAGATTCGACAGACCAACGTCCAGGAAGGAGAAGCTGGTGGTATCACTCAACAAATCGGTGCTACCTACTTCCCCTCAGAAGCCCTTAAGCAGAAAACCGCTGTCGTCAACAAGGATGGCAAATTCGAGTTCAAAGTCCCCGGTTTACTGATTATTGATACACCTGGTCACGAGTCCTTCTCCAACTTGCGCTCTCGAGGCTCGTCACTCTGCAACATTGCCATTTTGGTTGTTGATATTATGCACGGACTCGAACCACAGACCCTCGAGTCCATGAGATTGCTGAGAGATAGAAAAACGCCATTCATCGTTGCATTGAACAAAATTGATCGTCTCTACGGCTGGAAGAAAATTGATAACAATGGCTTCCAGGACAGCTTGGCGCTTCAGAATAAGGGCGTCCAGAACGAATTCCGTGATCGTCTTAATAAGACTAAACTCGCCTTTGCTGAGCAAGGGTTCAACTCCGAGCTATTCTGGGAAAACAAATCCATGGCTCGCAACGTCTCCTTGGTTCCTACTTCAGCTCATACCGGAGAAGGTGTTCCCGACCTCTTGAAGCTTCTTGTTACTCTCACGCAGGAACGCATGACAAACAAGTTGATGTATCTGTCAGAAGTTGAATGCACTGTCCTTGAAGTCAAGGTCATTGAAGGTCTTGGTACCACCATTGACGTCGTTTTGTCAAACGGTATTCTCCGCGAAGGCGACCGAATAGTACTTTGTGGTCTCAACGGTCCTATAGCGACGAACATACGAGCGCTTTTAACACCTGCTCCTCTCAAAGAACTTCGTATCAAATCGCAGTATGTTCATAACAAGGAAGTTAAAGCTGCATTGGGTGTCAAGATCGCTGCCAACGACCTAGAACATGCTATTGCTGGATCTAGACTCTTGGTGGTTGGACCCGACGACGATGAAGAGGACTTGGAAGACGAGGTCATGTCTGATTTGGAAAACCTCCTCAGCAAGGTCTCTAAAGATAATCGTGGAGTCAGCGTCCAGGCGTCCACTCTGGGTTCTCTTGAAGCCCTTCTTGAGTTCCTTAAAGTATCCAAAATTCCTGTGGCCAATATCTCTATTGGTCCTGTGTATAAACGTGACGTGATGCGTGCAGGCACTATGTTAGAAAAGGCCAAGCAATTTGCTGTTATGCTTTGCTTTGATGTTAAGGTCGACAGGGAAGCACAAGCCTACGCAGATGAAGTTGGCGTAAAGATCTTCACCGCCGATATTATCTACCATCTATTTGATGACTTTACAAAGCATATGGAAGAACTTTCTACCAAGAAAAAGGAGGAAGCAAAACTTCTGGCAGTGTTCCCTTGTGTTCTGCAGCCTTCTGTTATATTTAACAGGAAGGATCCTATTGTCATTGGTGTTGATGTGATCGAGGGCAATCTGCGACTGCTCACACCGATTGCTGCTGTCAAGACTAACCCTGTGACCGGCGCCAAAGAAATATTTAATTTAGGAAGAGTGTATGTGAACATCTCCCTGCTGTGCATTGTGATTGTAACTGACATATATCTTCAAGGCAATCTATCGAACGTGAACACAAGCAGATTCCTATGTGCAAGAAGGGTCAACCGTCTGTTGCTGTCAAAATTGAAGGCCCTAACCAACCAGCTTATGGCCGTCAATTGGAGGAGAAGGACGTGCTTTACTCGCTCATTTCCAGACAGAGTATTGATACATTGAAGGAATTCTATCGATCGGATGTCTCTATGGACGAATGGGCATTGATCAAAAAGTTGAAGCCTCTGTTTGATATCCCGTGATTGCATGCATGCCATGTAGATTGTCTGATTGTGTTGTCCTTGCGACTCAGTCTAAATGATTATTGACTTGTTCTCGCCTCTCCTGCACTCTCTTACGACTCTTTGTTACCTGCTTTCCCAGCCCGGATCAGACTGGGATTTGCAGAGAAAATGAAAAATCTTACGACATGATAGAAAAATGAAGCAAAACCATATTGGCATTTTGATGGTGATGGTCTCCTAACACAGAATGCCTTCAAGTCGCAACCTATCCCCCTGTTTATGCCTTGTTTTGAAGCGATAATTTCTTCTCTGTATATGATATACACTGATAGATTATCTTCATTCTTGGATATCACAGAATATGCTCTTGATAGGACTATCAAGGCTAGAATGCCAGGAACTAAGATTGAGTGTATATCCAACATTTGAAGCAGCATCACACTCAACGATATATTTACATTATAAATTCCTGTTATCAGGAAATAAACCTAATCTCCAGCATTCCACCGTATATACAAAACTCTTCGGCCAACGTAACCGTCGCAACACCCACCTGCCTCCTATCCTATATACTCCGTACATACTGTACCCACAATACATGGACTTTAAGACCTCGTCCTTGAAGAAGCCGTTCTCCGCACCTCACGATAAATAACTCATTCACTCTCCTTGCCCTTCCAATTTCTCCACCTTCCCTCCCTTTTTCTCCCAATCCAACCACGACCCATCATACACCCCAATTCTCGACCTATCGTACCCTGCCTGCACCGCCAATTCCGCCGCCGCCCGCGCGCGCACTCCAGCCCGGCAGTAAAACACAATATCGGCATCTGCCGCGTGCGCATCAGTGCTAGCGCCGTTGGATGTGGCTTGCGGGATTCCTGGTTTGGAGAAGCCGAAGCGGGTGAGAAATTCATCGGGGGTAAGGAAGAGAGCGTCGGGTTGGGAGTTGAGTGGGATCGAGAGGGAGGAAGGGATTATGCCGGTGGATACGAGCTCCTTGGGTTCGCGAACATCGATGAAGATGGTAGGTTTGCTGGTAGGCTTGGTGATTTGGGAAGTTATCTGTGGGCGGTTTTGTGGTTAGTTGTTGTGAGGGCGGGTAAAAGGGCGGGTGTGGGGAGGATGGGTTTACGTCGTCGAAGTTCCATTGCTTGAATTGGGGTTGATCTTTTGCGCTGGAATTGCTGGGAGCGTTGAACCGGGCGGTGGAACCGGAGAAGAGGCGGATTTGGGGGATGACTCGCGTTTGGAGACTTGCTCGCGGGACAGCCTGCGGCTGGGAGCGTATGGCGGCGAGGCGGAGGGGTGATGCCCGCGAAACTGCCCGCGGGGCACATGCGACGCCCTTAGGTGAGAAGAAAGATGTAATTGCGCGCTTTGAAGCCATTGTGCAGCCGATCACTCCCTTGAAGGCAATATCAATAATAAGGCTGCTCTGCCGATGTTCGATGTGAATGTCTTGACAGCAGACAACAGCTCGGAGTTGATGTTAGTTACAACTGGCCTGGATGATGTCAGCAGGCTAGTTACTTAACGCAATCCACAACCGAGCGGGACAACCAAGCAAGCGGGACACCAAAATACACATACAAAACTCAACTTTTTGCTCTCTTATATCTCTATTTAACAATGTGACGGTTAGCTGGCGGCCGAACATGGCTGATTTTGCTGCCATTTTTTTGGCGCCTGCTAACTTGCTGACTCTCAATCATCACATGAGTCAATCACCATGACCACATCCCTTTCCTCCATGCACACCCACAAAATCCATGGCCCTTGGCACTAATTTTTGTGGCCCTCCTTCACCCTTGTTCACCCTTGCTCAACCTTGCTCACCCACTCACTCACCCTGCAGAGAAGGGAGCTCTTTTGATGCTTCACCTCTGCCAATTCTGGCTCCCCCCTGGATCATCATGTTCTCTCCAGTTCCAGGCTCTGTCATGCTAATCATGTCCTCTCCAGCTCCGTTCTATCTCTCACTAATATCTCTCTCAGCACTGCAGTTTGGTTCTCATTTACAAAAGCACTTATTAACTCAGTTCCTCACTTCTGATTATCTCTTGAGTCTGAACACATGGCCATCTGGCAGAAACTACAAAGAAGAAAAGCCATCATTCCATCCCTTTTTCAGGATTTCTACTATCTCAAGGCGGGTGTTCACTGCTTGAGGCAGCTGGTCAACCTCAGCAAGTTCACTCCCACAATGCAGAGCATGTTTCTGAGTATTTACAGACTGCCTGATGATGCAGGAGCCAACTACCCAGTTCAGATATCAGAGACTGGCTTCTGACAATGTCTAGTGGCTCTGGCTGAGTGTGCAAAGCTCAGATACAATCAGCTCTTTCTATATGCCAACCAACACTCTGCAGAGATGCTGCTGCAACTGAAAAACAATAATCTTGTGGCAAAACCCAGTTATGAAAGTAACAAGACTGTAATCTACAAGATGGCTGCTCTTGCCTGACAGTTGAATTTTGACTCACTGCAGATCCAAGAGCTTGTCAAGAAATCTCCCAATCAGCAGATTGTGTGGGTTGCCCTTCTCAAAGCTTGGAAGCCTGATTGCTATCAATTCCCTGGTGACACCCTCAAATGCCTAGTTGATTGTGTTGTAGAAGGCTTGGCCCTTGCCTAACCTCATGAGAGCCAATCAGATTGCAGGGCTACCATCAGTAGGGAGGTTGAACAGAAGCAGCATTGCAGACTTTTATGGGCCAAAGCTCAAGAACAGGATTTACCATCTCTGTCTATTGACCAGATGCATGCGGACAATATGCCTGCTGGTAATAAAGTCACCATGCTCTTTGTGAGACAGCATGTCTATTTTGCTTTCTTTGGTGAGCCATCAATAACTCCACACCCCTCCAGGCCAGGGCTGAAGTGTCTTCTTTGGAACAAGTTGGATCCAACTTGCCCATGTCACCACTCTTTGTTCCCGAGGCCAGCAGCAATGATGGTAGCAATTGGGATAGGCACCATCCTCAGGAAACCCGCCGAGAACAACAGTATCAGAAGAATAGGGAGAAGGAACATCAGCAGCAAGAAAAACAAAAACAAAGGCAGTCATCAGGAGCTGAACACCAAATGCTGACTGCCCAAGCCTATTCAGCTGCTCCTCAAGAGTCAACCATTCACAGTCCCCTTGAAGAAGTCCAGGCGAGTGATTACATTCTGTCGTGGGATGATATGCCACCCATCCTGGAAGATATCAGCGAAGAACCTGTTGGCCTAGAGGAACCGGATCCAATGCAGCTGCAAGAGGTTGTAGACAAGCAGTTGGAGAGGGAAAATGAGGAGCAAGAACATATTTACTGTTGGTCCTCAATTTGGTTAGTCTCCTAACTCCAGTGGAACAGCACATACCATCCTCACAACGTCAGACAAGATCCCTTTGCTTTCAATCCCCACCCCAGACAAAGGCCCTTCGTTTCGACGCATCATGACAACAGAGGTATGCAAAACACTTTCAAGAGGAAGACACAAGTCTGATTTCAATAGCGAATCAAGGAAATTGCTGGCCTCTTGAGAACAATCGCCCGCCTGTTTGAGGGAATTAATCCTGTGAGTCTGTTGCATTTTGTGTCTTGCTTCAGCTCTGATGATGTCAGGAATTCTCGCAAAGCTTTTTGAGTTTTGAGAGATGGTTATTACAACGTACCCCAGAACAACAACTGCCATCCAAGACTGTTTACCATTGTAGTCAGGGCCATCATGATCCTAGTGATGGCTGCGAAAAGACCACAAACGCCAATGGAACAATTGTTACGCGACCTTTGCCTGACAATGTAAACGCGGCAGAATCAACTCTCACCGGATGGGCTGCCTACAGCAATGGGGCAGGCAGCACGAATGATAGCAATGGCACCGCTGCTATCATCAACACCAACATCAACATCAACACCAACAATACCACCACCGCAGAAGTTCCGCTTGACGCTGAAGGCAATGCGACAACCGAAAGGATCACCAACACCGAAGCGGCTACCAACAGCAATGAGACTGCTGCCACTGAGAATAGCAACAACAATGAAGCAATTCAGCCGAAAGCTTACTTCAGCGAATTTGATCTCCCTCAAAAGGAAGTAGAGAATCTTGTGAGCCTTGCAAGATCCATCGCTGATGGAGAGGAAGCAGAAGAGATTGTGACGGCATTTGAAAGAGATTATGCCAAGCATCCACAACTGTTCTGGGATATGTTCTCAGGAAATCTCAAGACGGAAAACTCTCTCGACAACCTTCTGTCCGCAATTTCTCACTTTAAGAGTTCAAGTCCACTGGGCCGCCGACTCCTGTCGAGACGACTAGATCAGGATGTAGATTGCATCGCACAAGCTGAGGAGGAGAATTGGTTCCAATGCCGAGGAGGGAATGGATCAACTAGCAATCAAAGTTTCAGGGTCTTTGCTCTTGAAAGACGTCTGGGAAGGAAATCAACGCCTGCAGAACTTGCCAGTTTACGATGTGGTGAAAGGCTTTCTCAGTTGGAGAGTGGCTATCTAATGGGATTTGGGCAGCCTCACTGGACAATGTGAGTCGACACTGCCGTTTTAGGTCCATAGCTAACTTAGTCCGATAGATTGGAACGTGGGTTGTCGTTAGAAGGGGCCTAGATACTGGATGGTTACATTCGCACGCGAAAGTCGTTTCAATCATACCACCGCCTTTCACCCTTGGTTGATAATGTTCAGAACTCGTTCCCATCCTCGGGCAGCAAGAGAAAGTTCGGTGGAGAGCATGAAGGCAGGAAATTTACTACTGGAATAAAAGAACGCCCAGGCATAAGTGTATTTCGGCTAAGGAACATGCCTACTCAGGCTGGACGCGCTCATTCCCTCCAGATCTCGTCTAATCCCTCAGAACTGCCAAATAACTTTGACGTGGGTTGGCATGCGCATCCTGCAGCTACAAACGTACAAACACGGACTGTTGCTCCACCGGTGTGGGAGACGCCTCATCACTTCCGGGCGCCAACAGGAATCAGCCACGCAATCATGCACGCCGTGGAACCCTTCCCCTAACCAAGAAATAAGAATTCCGCTCCCCCAGTTGGAGGCAAATCTCGACTGGGCAAGAACTCCCCTCGCTAGCGGATACGATTGGAGCAATCTGCCAAATCCCTTGATGGCAACAAGCGATCATCTCGAGAGAATCGATTGGGATAATCTGCCAAATCCCTTAATGGCGACAAGCAATTCCGAAAGCTATGGTTCGCAAACTTTTCCTACCTCCGCCGGCGCTTCCACTGAGTTTCCTGACGGTCAGGATGGCATTCAAACAATAGCTTCTTAACATAGGATATGGCTAAGGAGTGTATGTCTATCATTATAAAGACATACTTTTCGACTTTCGGCTATGTACATACAAATTGAATCTGGAAATCAATTGGGACTCTCAAAAATCAGATATCTAACAGCAACAATATCGCGAGGCCCCCCCCCATTTCCAGGAAATATTATTGATTCTCCACCATCAAAGACAACAGCATCTCCCGTATCCATCTCAACATCCTCGCCCAGAAACAACCCGTTCTCGTGCGAAAGCTTTTCCAAGGCGATAAGGACAGCGACTTTCTTTTTATCTGGAGCTATACCTCGTAAAGTTCCCAATTGAGGCATGGAGTTGATGATAATCGGATGCCAATCGAATAAAAGATGCTTCAAATCTTTCGACCGTTCAATAATATTCTTTTTATGTCTTAATTTGACTTGCTTGATGTTTGATGAATTCTTCAGTGGTTGTCAATAATCCGAACGACTTCTGTCAGATAAAGAGTCATACCATCATCCAAGTATTCACAACAATTTCAGCAGCAGGAGTTTTCTTCAAGGCTCAAAAAGGGTAGTATGAGCCAGATGTTTGCGATTGAAGAGGACTTGAATCAGAGGAACTGCGCAACTCTTTGACTGCGTCATCGATGATCTTCATATCCACTGTTGGAAATACATCCCATTTTCGTGAAACATTTTGGTATGTCGAAGTCTGAGACTCGACCGACTGCTGACTAGCTTTGTCTCCCGGCATGTCAACAGGCCATACTCTCAAGCAAAATGTGACGAAAGTCTGAAAGATTGAACAAGCGCGGCATCAATACTGGATTTTGGGTGTTTGAGGGCTGGGCACAGTGACCTCAGGGGTTGGTCGGAATGGAAAAGATTTTCTCCGTCATGTATCCTCTCGGGAGTGAGATGGTGCCAGCTGACCGTAGATATGGTAGAAAAATAAAAGTAGAGAACAAAGGAGTGGGGGTAGAGAGCCTTTATCAGTAGTACACCTTGTTATCCAATCTGCAAGGACTGCTTGACACGGTAGCTAACATAATACACCTGACTCCGATCCAACCCTTCAACCTATCAACAAAAAGTGCCTCAAAAACGTCTAAGAGGAGTTGCGATAAGCTCACCCAACCGACTTGTGGAGGCGAAACCTCTGACGCGGTCTTCTCTGGCCAACCCGAATTGCCGCTTCCATTACACCGGAAGCCCTATGATAAGCGGGTCAAAGGGTTTGGAGACCTCACTGAGATGTTAAGTGACAGTAGGACTCTAGGACCTTCTAGCAGCTGAAAGATGCCGTTGAGCAATACCCAGCAAGCCGTCCGGCAGACGCAAGGTGAAGAATATTCAAAACTTGAACTGGGCAAGTAATCTAGTTGTCATGGGTGCTTGCTCCCCATGCTATTGCATATTCTAGATGGCTTCCACCTAGTAGAATTGTCCCAAGGCGACGGTTTCCTGGGCTAAGTTCAGCTTTGCAGTACGGAGATAAAACATACGGACTCGGACTGCGGCTTCATGATGAGGCTCAAGGGAAAGGGGTGGTGCGGCGATGATAGGCCTCTTGCGGGACAGAGGATACCAATCATCATGTCCACCTCGTTGGGCCACTAGCAATGTAGGCATCTCTCTCGGCGCCAACAAGAATTGTAAAGCGTTTGCCTTGCATTGCTCTAAAACTCAATCAGCAGGATTCAGTAATAATTATGGATATACAACCTGATAAATACATCTCTCCGGATAGCCTGCTGTGATGATTCTTTATCCACATCCATGGTCCACATCTAGCGAGCAGTAGATTATGAGCAAACAGAGATTCAACATTGAATGAACACGTCAAAAATCTGTCTAATGCGAAGCTAGTCTGGATTAGGGAAAGGTTGTTTGTTTGTGCCAAGTCCAACACTCTTGATCAAAGCCAACTCTTATCCCAAATAAGTATAGTGTGGTTCTACAAAACTAAATATTTATATTTTGTACATATTTCCATGTTTTAGTTTAATTTTCCTGGTCTTCTAGCTCGAAAAGCATCTCTGTTAGTTCAAAATGAATGGCTTTTATTATCTTCCGTGTCCAATTTGCCAGCAAGACGTTGATCTAAAACATCCGGCTTACTTTTATATACTTCCTCTTCATTCAGCTTATGCAAAGCTCTTCTCCAACAACAACTTCCAACTAAACAAATACTCGATAGGAATACAAAGCCTTCAGCTAAGGACAACCGAAACTTATCCTACTCTTGACTATAGGCTAAGGGCATATCTTGTTCATCAAAGATGCTATGAAGTTGTTGGAGAACCTTCTTACTTGCAGCTCTGTCTGTTGCTTGATGTGATTGAGCCCACTTTTCTCTCACGCACACTTCCTCCTCCAAGTGCACACGGTGCCTTCTCGCCTTCCTCTTGCCTTATCCCGCATATCAGCTCTACTACCAAACAATGCACCCAGTGGGACCTGGGGCAGTCAATCGATCGGTTACCATCGGATATTCAGAATGAGATATTTAAGTATGATATTGGGCGTCTGCTCTATGTGATGAAAACAGCAACGCAATTGTCTATCCAAAACAGAGCCTCATATGCTATCCCTGAACATCGGTTTTCAGAAACAAAATTGACTGTGCATGGCAATATGATCCGAATCCATTTGATCACCATTGGCGATCGGACCTATATCAAAGACATAACCAGCCCGGCGCATATTTTCTATGAGAACGGATCAATACTGTGCAGCAGTATTCTGAGATATATACCACTGGTGCTTGTGTCTGCTTTTCTACTTGACTGGATTCTCTACATGTTTGTACACCAATGGAAGTCTGGGCTACTTTCAACTACAGTAACATTTGGATTTATACTGTACTCGTCTGTGGTGATAGATATCACCCAGGGCAGAATGGCTCAAAGAATGATTCAAGATTATAAGCTTGACAAAAGCAAATATCTTGCAATCAGGGCTGATGAAATGGGTGTAATAGATATTGCATTCCAACAGAGCCATGCCGGGCCAAAATGGATTCTCAACAACCTTGCCTATCCCTTTAAAGCTAAGATTTCTGTGATCCGGTATGCAGATACCCACAGACTTCGGATTATTCGAGATGTAATCAATGCCTCCTTGTCCGCACTCCTTTTATCAGAAGTATACTAATTCTATGTCACAGTCTCTAAAGTGCCGTGCAATTATTCCCCTTAATAGGAGTGGAGCGGAACCATATTTTTGCAGTAAACTGATTCCTCCACAAGACTCTTGGGTTGATTCTGGATTCCCTGTGGAATCTAAACTCACACTCTCATCTGCCCCGTTTGCATACTTCGCAAATGCAACTTACATCCCTTTTGCTACATTGAAGAACATCAACTTTGATGTTGAACCATCACAGCTTGGAATCACAAATATTGAAGTCAACATTCCAAATCCATGCAACAAACTTTATTCTGTTTGTTTTTCTAATCCTCCTCACTCTTTGAGATTTACTCTTTGTGGAAGAACAGTTGTTGGACATACGTTTCAATACCCATATATCCAGGTATGCCAGCCAGACCTTCACAACTTGTGTCCTACTAATTGATCTTCTAATTCTCTGCTTAGTTTGAAATCAATGGTTGTTGGGCACCTCCAATTCCATCTCATTGCATTCGTCTTCGCCCATCCATTGTGGTGAAGAATGTGTTGGGAATCTGGTGGAGTAAATCTTTTGCATTTATTCCCCTTCAGGTTGGTGTTGTTGTTTTGAATAAAGCAAATCTCATAAATACAGTTATCTAAGAGAACGATTTTGTTATGACTGCTGTTTTAGATGTAAAAATGATGTTGTGGGACTCTCTTTGAAATTTCTTTCTCTAGCTTTCTGGATATCAATTTTCTCCAGGTTCTATGAGGAATATGGTGCTTCTATTCCAAACACGTTCCTCCAGTGAATATGTCTTAGTTCATAATCCAGATTGCTACTCATGTGCTTCTGTATCCTTAATCCTCTCCTATTAGTGGCTGAATTTGTATCAGTAACCGGGTGTAAAACAAAAACTAGAGGTGAACATGTAGAGAAGGAAGGTGGCAATATCAATTAACTGATATAAGAAGAGAATTAAGGTCATTAAAAAGAACATCTAACATGAGAGTCTCAACATCAAGCTTCATTGTGGTCACTGAATTTCAGCAATAGGAAGGAAGATGATGCATTCGTGAAGGAAAGCCCGGAAGACTGCCTCAGGGCCAGCAAGAGGCTCATTGTAATCCAACTCCACAGTGCTCTTCTCTGAATTGACCAGCGCGGGTTTGATCTCGGGAGAATCTCCCTCATCACGATGGACTATAGCAAACTCGACTTTCAAACCTGAGTCAGACTTTGCAGTCACAGAAATATATCCACCAGGACGATGTTGAGGGCGAAGAACTTCCTCGTTTAGCCGGCGAGCTTCTATGGCTTTCATGTCATCAATTGTCTCTTTCTCTGACACCGCCCCATATGCAAGCACAAAGCCATCCCGTAGTATCTCAAAGTGTCGGATACGTTCCACGACATCTTCTCTCATTGGCAAGGTCCACACCACCTTGGCGTTGTAATTGGCCTCCTTCAGGATTTTTGTGATAAACTCATTCATAAAAGCTTGGATTTGCAGTACATTTCCACCCACTGCGTTATCGAACATGCCAGGAATGAGTGAAGTGTCATCTTCGCGAAGCACCATCTTAATTCTAGGTCTAAGTGAGCATCCAGTTCATAATATCTGCTTTAACTTATACATACCTTTGGACGTGACAGACTTCAAAATATTGATGGCTCAAGCCTCTTTAGTCCTTGATTTCAAGAGATGCTGTAGCACAGTCTCAAGCACAATGCAAAAAGGATGGCAAATTAACTATCAAACAAGCTGATCCTCATCTCGTCAAACCAGGTCAATGCACCATCTAAATACAGTAAAGCCTCTATATAACGATCACTTTACATAACGAACCCTCTACATAACAGATGAAAATCTCTTCCAAAATTAAATCTCCATACAAAATATTCATTAACCTGTATACTACGAGATTCGTTGAATATCTCTCAAGATTTCTTAATATATTGTTATAAAAAGGCCAAAAAAGACCAAAATGCCCTGCTGAACCACAATTTTGATTGGGCAGAAGAAGAAATTACAGATTTACGAACGCCTTTGGCCATGAAGGGTTTTTTTCTTACCACGGACTTTGGTATAACTTGGGGGCAACCAAATTGGCATCCGCAAGCCAGGGTGGTCTCAAGGCTTACATGCCTCCCAAATCACTTCGCGCTTCTGCGATCCGGTCGCTGGTTGCCCTTAACATTTTCAAGCGGAAAATGGACCGGAATTACTGCGTACAGCTGTGACAAGATACAATAAACTACTAGAAGTAATGAGTTACTAGAAAATTAACATTGCCAGTAAGATATATCAGACGTAGTTTACTTTTTCAAATGCCTTTGAAGCTCTACACCTGCTGCCGTGATGATGGAATGATGAATATCGACAATGCTCCATGTCTTCATATCCTGATCAGTCGAGATGGTTATCCCTCTGATGACAGCACTGAAACCAGTTTTTACTAAGCCTTTTTATTTTATGATTGCTTGGACCATATCTTGTAATTAGTGACTCTGTAGATTGAGATTGTTTTCTTTTTTCTTTCATTAATTAAAACTACATTAGGTATCCATATTTACACCACCTAGGCAAAGCACTACCAAACCAGAAGGGGAAAAAGAGGGCAAAAAAGAAAAGAAATGAAAAGAAATGAAAAGAAATGAAAAAGTCCGGGTATCCATATCTTTTTTAGGACCCTGTCTCCCCCAGAAGAACCAAGAACAGTCGTGGCATATGAAGCCAATTAAACAGTAACTAAGGTAAGAAGGGGTGGGAGGAAATTTTTATTGCGAAAGCATCAGATGCAAAACAGGCTGTTTGTTAAGGGTGAACATCATCATTGAAATGCAAAGAGGAGCTCATAGGAGAGCAACGAAAGTAGGAATATCTCGGATAGGCTCTCTCTATTAGGAGAATATCAGACATTCATGAAGTCATTTCAGTGCTTTTGGGAGGTTTTGGTCGTTCATGGTCTGGGGCGGAAAACAAGTGGGCAATCATCCTGATTTCTACGTTAGTTGGGAGATTCCATGTGGATCTGAGAATGCGACAGATACTAACCTGAGGGAAGATGGTAGCAAAGACCTTGATGTCTTCTGAGATAGGAGTAGCATGATGCTCCCAGTCCATCATCATACTAGCCTTGCCAATCATAGCCATAAGGTTCAGCTGAGCATATGTTTGTCCAAGGCAGTAGTGAGGGCCGGTGCCAAACACCAAGAAATTCTTAGCAGCCTTGTCAGCATCGCCGGAAATCCATCGATCCGGATCAAAAGTCTCGGGGTTTGGATAAGCATCAGGATCATGGGTTGCAGGCCAGACGGATGGGACGATCATGCAGCCCTTGGGAAGCGTATAGTTAGGGGTGATAGGGAAGTCCTTTTTGGTCATATATGGAACCATGATCACAGGAGGTCGGTATCGGAGGGTTTCCCTGACCACAGCTCGGGTGTATTGCAATTGATCAAGAAGGTCCATCGTGATTTTACCATTCCGATCACCATTTCTCACAGCCAAGTTTTCTTCTCTGACCTTGTCAAGGACATCTGGACGATTGGCCATAAGCTGGAAGAGCCAGGTGCTGGCACTAGATGTAGCATCTTGCGAAGCGAACAGGAAGGTGAAGACGGTCTGCGCAATTTCGTAGTCGGAGAAATCCCGCAGGATGTGACTTGGCTTCTCGGAGTCATCGACCTGGATGCCCTTTGCAATCTTTTCGCGGTATTTGGCGGAATCCAACATCTGCTTGATCCAAGCGTCCATGATGCAGGTAACCTCTCCCCCCGCAGCCATTCGGACTTTGCTCTTAGCGGCGCATTTGCTAAACTCATCCAAGACCATATCGGCAGCCTTCTTTCCGTACCATGATTTCGTGAAAGGTAGAATGATGGGGAAATTGACTAATTCCAACGCAGCAGTGATAAGATAGTAGTCGTCGGCGATCTTCTTGACGGCTGCTTCAGTCATGTAGTGTCCAACGAAGGTCCGGCAGGAGAGTGCACACATCAATTCACGCAAGTACGGCATCCAAGGAATAGGCTTGAAGTTGTTCTTCTTCGATTCTTCCAGGAAGAGCTTAAAGTATTTCTCGTAGACGTCATCCAATTGCGGCATATACACGGACAATGCGGAGCGGGTGAACAGGCCATTGAGACCCTTGCGGTATTCAACATGCTCCTTGCCATCCAAAAAGACCCAGTTTGTCTTGCCTAACAGCTTGTGCGCAGAGTCCACTACGCACGGCTTGACGTATGCAGGAGAATTGAAGACCTTTCGGGCCATGTCTCGAGTTGACGCGATCACGACGAACCTGCAAGGTTAATGCACGCCAACGTTAGCCTTGAAGCAGGTATGGGCCACCTGGAGTTATAGGATTGATTCACTTGAGACGCACTTGTGGAAGACAGAGACACAGCTCAATTCGCCGCTGGCCCATTTCGCCTTGTATTCTGTAAACTTCGGATTGACCGACTCTAGGAAGGGGCCCATGAAGGGAATCTTAAATCTTGGACCGACGATTGAACCCTTCAGCCAGATATATTTGACTGCAGCATGGCTGTTTAGTTATCTGTGTCCGAATTTTGATGACAACAGGCACGTTTCAGAAGCGACTCACTCTGATCGTAGGCGACGAGGAACATGAATAGAGCCAGTAAGGCCGACCAGCCGGTGAAACGGCTGTAAATGCCCATCACGAAGCTGGATGGGTCCGAAGCCATTGAAGCTAGAGATGCATCCGCAGATGGCGATGCCATATTTCCCGCGACGCTCGCCATTGTGGTGAGGGCGGAAGAAAAAGGGGCACTTCAGAGGGGAATATCCAAGCTCCAGCCGATTCACGAAAAACCCGTCCACCCTTAGCAAGAGAAAGGAGAGTATGTGAGCGACTGAGTGCGTGAGAGATGGACCTGGGCACGCGATGAGCAGACAGTGAGCCCGGTGATGGATGACAGACGGAGGAGGGAAGGGAGAAATGGAGGCGAAGAGGAGAAACGTGCAAGATTGACCGAATTAATTTGATTCTTTAACTAACTAGCTTGGATAATTACTAAGTCCGGATCGCGATGTGCACGGATTGCGTCCAGTACGACCGAGCATCCGTTGAACTGTGCCAGCCAACCAGAGCGCGTGAAAATGCCGGGATTTAGGAGAGTTGGCCAATCATAGCCAGATATTGCACAATACATTTCCGTTACGATGAATTCCCGTACAATACAGCCTAGCTTCCCGGCTCCTCGACTGCAGCCCGTCGTATTCGAGTGTAACGCCAACAGCTTCGAAAATCCTCCGTGTTCGATGCCAGTCCGCCGTCCAGCAGGAGGATTCCGGGCTCGAACTCTGGAAAAATCCCCCGATCGAGGCACCCAACATCAAAGTTTTCTCCCAGCTGATCAGCGACCTGCAAATAGGCAGTGGGCTGCAGGCTTACCGCGCTCCGGTGGGCTGGGTTTGAGCGCACAAAGTTACCGCTAGTGATGTAATTGTGTCGTGATTCGGCCTCCCAGCATCCCGAGCGCCCTTCCGATAGGCCCGCCCCTGAGTCGAAAACCCTCTGCAAAACATCCGCCTGCACAAGGAGGCAGAACAAAAAAAAGGGGTGATGCTGATGAGAGCCAGAGGTGCTCAGCTGCTCCCTCATCTGCACGAGCCACGCTGCAATTTGGGATCAACGTCCTCTTTTCTCTCCAGAGCTAGGGTTCACGGCGTGTCTTCTCGGGCTTGACGACATGCTCCTCGCGGTTCACTTCCTGGACAATTCTAGATTGAGCTGAAGACGCGGCACATGGCCTGGGCTTGTGCCTCCCGGCCCTGCAATTCCACCTCCGCGGAGCAGCACCCAGTTCAAGGTCTATTTGCTCCGCTCTCGAAGCACACACGGAGATTTTTTTTTTTTTTTTGGGTTTGGGCGTGCATTGCGCCCTAGGAAGTCAACCGATTGGTCCCAAACTCAACAGGCGCAAGACCAGGCTGTTCTCCATAATCGAAGTGAAAGCGGAACAGGCCATATGCGCCTTGAACCTTGTATGTTGGCAAGGCTTGTCTGCTGGTCCCACAAGTCACGACGTCAGCAATGTCTACCCTCCACGGGGATGACCAGAGGAGGAAAGACTGGACAGATGACCTTATGGCTACATGTTAAAAGCCCATCAAGGGGCTTCAATATAAAATTCTCCATACCCGGTCTTCCGATCGGTTGAATATCAGCTACGGAGTACTCCGTACTATTTGAAAAATTGCCCTATTGTTGGGGCGTCCACGGTGTTCCTTGCTTCTTATCATCTTTTGCGGTCTGTCCAGGATTGTATATGCACAATATGCATACATATGCACGTACGTGCATATGTGATTCTATATTGTCGCCGGAGGCTGCTTTGATGTCTGGGTGTCTCCCATCAATATCTGCCACAGCCTCGACCCAAGCATCCAAAAGCTTAGATACTTGGCATTGCAATCCACACCTGTCAAGCCCCTGCTGCCCGGAACCTTCCATATTCTTGATCGTCATGGACACTTCTGGACCTAGCATGCTCGGAAAATGAATACATGACTGGTGTGGAGAACAGAGCACGGAGTGTACCGACCAGGACCTTTGACTTCATGAGGGAATCCGAAAGTGCTGCCATTCTGGAGATGCTGTTAGTCGGGAACAATTGCTCTGGACCGAGCCATACTGTCATATAAATTTACTGCTCATAGTGAAGTGTAACAAGTATATGAGGGAGTTTGTATGGTTCTTCGGAAAAATTGTTTCTTACATTTCGATGTAGGATGCAATGTATAAGCTTGATCCTGCTTACAATACCAGGACTGTTGATTGGGCTGCAAACAGTGGACTATTTATTGATCTCTCGAAATCTCCAGATGAAACTAAGTCTAGCACCTCCATAAAAAGGCCTGAAAATGAATATCTGTTTTTAACTACAATCCGATTATCGACCGAAACCAAACCATCCTCTCTTTTTTGGTTCCGGCTTTTCTTCAGTATCCGCCATGGTGGATTCGCGAACATCAACGGCCCTCTTGGCCTCCCGAGGATAATCGATGTAGTTCCAAGCAACATCGAAGAAGAGCGGCTTCACGGGGATCGGTTGGATCTTGGGAGGATATGTCACCAGGTTGGATAAATCCGGGCTGGCTGAAGGATAATCTCCTAGTCGTTCAAGAAGGGGTGGTAGCGTAGAATCTTTCGCTCGCGAAGCTTCATCATTAAGCTTCTCAATTTCGACAATCCCACGGTACTGCCAGATGAGATGTTGTAAATGCGTCGACAGCGCATTTGCTTGCTGCCCGGACACCTCCATTCGTGACAGTCCAGCTGCACTGGTGGGGTGTGCATTGGCAGACTGGCACTTGGAGGCTAGATCTGATGCCCGAGCGAAGAGCGCCAGGGCGTTCTTCGGGTTAGAAAGGAAGGCATGGGATCTGCCAATGGAGAGACACCTTTTTGCGCACGGTTAATTTCTATATGTCTTATTAAGAGTAACTTGACCAACCTCAATGCTAAGAAGTAATTCCGAGTCGCGCTCAACTCGTCCATAAGTTCGGCATCTCCAGCAACTCCTGGAAGTTCTTTAACGGAGTCTAAGCTTTGCAGGATCGCATCATAAAGAACAACCCTTTCACGTAGCCGAGCTAGCTTCTTCCCTGTACTCTCCTCCTTTGGAGCCTTCAAATTTCGCTGAATCTTCGGCCTCTTTGTACTTCTAAATTTCTCAGCCTCAAACCGTAAGCCATCCTCGGGACCACACAGAACTCTATTACGGCCGACACGCCACCCAACCAACGCATAGTTCACGGAGGTTCGGGTGATTTGCAAAGCCTGCATTCTTTGATCTCCCTGGTCGACTCCATCGTTAGAGAGTTCATCAATTGCAGTTTTCGTGGCGTCAACAGCGTCCTGACTAGCAATAATGACGTTGTCATATTTGGCCGCCTTGTCTTTGGGGGACGCATGTTGGCCCTTAGGGCTAGACATCCAGATCGAAAGTTCGGATTCAGCAGCGGCCGCTGCTCCCAAAGCCTGTGATATGGAAGCATCTTCGAGTTTCACAGTTCGCGATCGCCATGTAATCGTCTCCGGAAGTTCTTGGGTGCTCCCATCGGCAGTGACCTTGTTTTCACCCCCCTTTTCGGACAATGCTTCAGGATCAAGGGCTTCTATTTCTGCTCGCACTTTCTCATCCGCGGGAAAATGTTGAATGCTAATGGTATGTAGTGGTACAGAACGAGGGAGTTTGAGCTGATACGCTGCATATCTAATTCCAGGATCAATGGTGCTAGACAGCAGATCACGGAAAACTTCACGATCAGTCTTCTTTTGAATCGCTGTGTATATCACACGGGCTAGCGAGTTTTGGCGCAGGCACTGTTCCCACCGCTGCTTCTCCATCCAAAAGGTTGCTCTGAGAGAAGCAAGGTAGGCTCGAGCCTCTAGCAAATCAACATTCGACGCTCCAGAGGCCGACTGATTTTCAAGCACTTGGACAAGTTGTTCCGCGTATGTCGCCGCCTTGTTTAAACGGGATATTATGTGACGCCTCGTTGAGCCCACAATTCCTTTTGTAGATGGGTCTGCGGAGTGCACCGATCTCATATGCATAGCTGACGCCCATCCTCGTTCTGCAGCGAGGAGAAAAAGAGATACATGCCTGACCAGTGTTAGCTCTTTCAATAACTACCATAATCTCCAGCATGATTTGTAAGGCTTACTCGGAGTTTGAGGCAATTTCTTCTGCGGTCACAAGTGGCTTTGGCGTGTATTTCTTGCCCTTGGGTGTCGTTCTCCCAAGTCGCTTACGCTGGGCGTGCAATCTGCGGGTCACTCGAGCACGATAGGTATTGTAGTCTCCGATCAACAGAGCATCAGCCCTCCGTGAAACGATGTAGTCTGTGATGTCCATGTTGACGGATTAGACCTCTTGCGTCCCGAAAAGAACAAATGAGCACCAGCAGCCTGCCGTCAACACTTCGCACGGTGAGGTCGTTGCCGCAACATCATCATGACATCGCAAAGTGTCGGTGGTGCGGTTCGGGATTATATAAGCAAGCCCGGAGAAAGTCAAATACTTCTCAGTCGCGAAGGGGAACTTCTCGGGGACTGGAATTCAACCTCAAAACGCCACCTTTTTCAGGCGAATGGTGCGTTCATTTGGGCTTGAATAAGTCTTAGAGAGATTCTTCAGTTTTGTTTTAGTTTTTCATAGATTAATCCTTCACCATCTACCGGAAAGAAACTATCAAAACTTCCGCAGTGAGGTACATTCCTACCGAGTAAGTTTTCTTGACCAAAGAGCTTTCGGCCTTTTGCTGCGTTTAACCCGTTGATCTCTGGCACTAATGGAATTTTGCAGATATGCTTCAAATATCTTAGCATTTCCGATCCTCTCTCACTCTCTCTTTTTCCGTTTATATCGCTTGCATTCTGAGGCAATGCTAGAGCGGGCTGCGCGATGCATCGAGATCGCAGGCCAGCACATTTTCCTTTACTCCAAAAGTCCACTTCGGTCCCGACGAATTTTACATTCAAATTTCTGGCACCATGGCGCAGTTGATATAGATATGCCTTTTTGGTGTTTTGGTTTTCTCTACCCGCCTTCTTCCCCCGGAGATCCTAATTGCCGCGACCGAGAACAACGAATTTCGTCTAATCGCCCTGCATCCTCCGCACACCTTGAATTTCTTTACCCGCCCCGAACCCAGTCCTTTGCGCGAGCTTACCTACGAACACGGAACCTACATAGGAGCTCGGCTATTCGACGGAGAAAACGGTTTTCTTATCGAGGTTTCGCGTCCTCGACAGACGATCCTGACGGGCATAAAGTTTCGGCCGCGAATGGACTAGGACGGGTATCCGAGGCGTCGACCACGCATTCTAACGGGGATGCCGTCTCCGATGGGTTACGCCAGTTATTTTCCAAAGACGGCCCACCGGCCTACGCTAGAGCGTGGGGTCTTTTCCAGGCCGCTGGAAGCCCCCGTGAATTAATTCCTCAAATGCTCGCCTATCTTTCGACTTCTGATAGGCGTATTGATGCTGATCGAACGAAGATGCTTTTCAACGTTATCCCGATTTCGGAAAGGAAGGCAAAGGATTATTTATACGCAGTGAAGACAGCACTAACTTGGAACGTTGACGGTCTTCGGGCTAAGGATATATACAACGAAGCAGTGTCTAGGGCTGAGGGAGATCTGTGCTGGAGCTTTGCGATTACATTTTTAATAAACCGACAAAATTGGCATGAAGCCATTGAAATTTGGAATAATCGACCCGTTTCGGGAGCCTTGGGGGGAACACAGGCTAAATCTGTCGAGTTGCCTGACTTGTCTCGATTGCCAAACCTGATTTTTTCATTTCTCAAGGCAATACAGATGGGAAAATTAGACACTGACACGTCGGGCCTGGCTGACTTTCTTAAATTCATGGTATATCATGTGGTTTCTAGTCGGACATTGATCATGGAAATGTCCACGAAATCGACGTTGCTATTACTCGAGCGCCTTTACTCGCTGCAGTTACTTGAGCCTAGATTCTACTTGAAAGCGATCTCCACCTTGCAGTCGGTGGGTTTACGATCTGCAAGCGCCAGAGCAATAATCCTTTACCGCAACTTGCGATGGCGGCTCCCCAACGAAAAAGTTTCCGAACAACTTCTGACCCGGCTCATAAAAATGCTATCCACGTTTGAGATATCGGAAGGCGTTAAGTATCTACTCGATGAGTATCGGCATTTCCACGGGAATCCGTCACCAGACGCATATCGCCATGCCTTGACGGGGTTTGCAAGGCTGGGTAAGGAAAATGAAGTTGAGGGCCTATTTCAGAGTTACGTCAAAGATCATGGCAAGCCATCAGATCTGAAACTACTTTCCCCTCTTCTCTATGTCCATGCAAGTCTTGGTCAGGTTAAGAAGACCCAAACCAAGTTCAATAGGCTAGCAAAGGATTTCAATTTGCCTCCGAATGTGGTGTGTTGGAACATACTTCTTACCGCTTACACGAGGGCCGATGATTTCAGTGGTGCTCTTTCAACCTTCCGGACTATGGTCCAGAATGGTATCAGTCCCGACTCACATACCTTCGGCATCTTGATCGGATTCCTTGCCAATAAAGGTGATGTGGATGCAGTAATTAATCTATTCGGAATTGCAAAGCAGAATAAGGTCCCTATAAATTCTACTCTAGTTGATGGAGTTGTTGGGGCGTTATGCAATAACCGAAGGTATGGTGACGCCGAAAAAGTGGCCAATGAAGCGCTTCAGTTGAACTTGCATGGTTCCCTGACAAGAATGTGGAATGTCCTCCTCTGGAATTACGCCTTTATACCGGACGTCGAGTCGGTTTCAAGAATACAAGCACGGATGCAACAAGAAGGCATTGAATTTGATGGAATGACGTACGCGGCGCTGATGCTAAGTCTTGTCCGTTTGGGCAAACTTGATACAGCCCGCCAAATATTGGGTAAACTTCATCGAAGCCGCCGGGTCCATATTACCGAACTCCATTACGCCATCTTACTCCGTGGCTATTTAAAGGAAGGAAACCGTGACATGATACTAATCCTCTACAAGGAAATGATTGAAAGGTTTAATACGCTTGGCCTCAGCGGGAGCCTCTCGATGCTTA